AGGAGCCTTTGAACACCGGGTTCAAGGTTGGGAGCGGCCGGGACTCAGGTTGGAGTTATTGAGATTAATGAGTCATGAGGAGGCCGATCGAAGAAATGGAGAATTGGACGATAAATCGAAGAGAACAAAGAATTCTAATCGAAGTGACAGTTCGAAACGAGGAGATCAAGCTTGATGGGCAAGATTCTCGAGTCGAAGGAGTCGGATGGGGATCCTGGGGGAGCGCCTTTATATTCCGAAGAGCGGAAGAGCCGGAGTACTCAAGGCCAGGTTCCCGAACTGGACAACAGGCTTGTTGTTCAGTCGGTTGTGCGCAGATGGTAGGTATCCAAGATCCACGAATGAAGGCCTTCGTAAAGGGTTGGCAGGGACGAAGGCAACACGAATCTGAATCGTCGAGCCGTTACTTGACGAGAGTGTAGACAGGCGAGGACGAAGAGACGTTTGTTCAGATTTGAGAGTATATTCCAGAAGGAAACAAATGGAATCGAACGGGCCGATACGGGGGAAGAGCGCTCTTCAAAAGTATCGAATCAAGCGATATATGAAGTGGTTGGCTGATCGCAGTAGGCAGAGCGCTTGGAGTCCCGGGTAAGGCGTGTAGGGATGAGAGAAGGAGGAGTGGCGTAGTAGAAGTGGAAGGAGACGAAAGGTGAAGGAGAGGGGGGAACGAGGGGAAGAGTAGAATGAAGAAAGGAGATGAAGATGGAGAGGAGAAGGAGAAGGAGAGAAAGAGGAGGTAGCGTCGAGGAGCGGTTAAGAGAGTTACAGAGGGCAGGGACGATCAGGAGTCACGGCAGTCACGACCAGGACTTGAGTCACCCTGGACCCCATATTCTACTCCGTATGCAGTGGGTCGATTACTATTACCATACACGTATGGAACCGTCTCCAGTGGGTCTTTGATCAACATAGCCTTCACAACCATTGGAACCTTCCGGCCCACGGGCTGCTGCGCTCGGTATTGTATGGAAACGGCCTTTCCCATTACCGCCACGCAATCCCGAGGCTGCCATCTTCATGAACCTTCCAGACATTCCATGACCCTTGGGCGGCGTCACTCCAAACCCAGTTAGGCTGATGGGAGTTCCTACAGTATGTCACCGCATGTCATATGGCAACAAGATTCTTGTACGCTCCTAAATTCCAGCCATTCCATACTGTATGGGTATGAGAAGGTGTACTCCATATTTTCTACAATATACTTTAGTGACTCTATCTTGGGCAGCAGTACTGTCTATCGCCATATCACCATTGTTGATCTGCATGCAACAGACCAATCCATGGTTGTCTCCTCCACACCACTTCCCCCCCTAAACACCAAAACAGAACAGTCCAGTCGGGACCTGCAGTACGGAGTCCCGAGTATACTTCTGCACCCTTCCAGTGAGAGCAGCATATTGCATCAGCAGGGGCAGCGTCCACCTCTCCTCTTCCTCCCCCCCCCAAACAACTCTTCGCGGCCGAGGACGGATCCAGGTGGCACACTAAACCCAATCCGGTGGATTGCGCAGCGGAGTCTGGGGCAACAACCAATGGTTGCCTGTTTTTAAAGCACTATTTCCAGGCTGCATGACGCGATGGATGGGGCATGGCGTGATCCACTATGATTGGTGACCCAGTCGGCCCCCTACTGCAGGCCCCGGAGTTTCTTTGCCGGCAGGTACTGGATGTACTGCATAGGCTTTGTCCCGAAACTTGAAGCTGTTGATTACTCGTAATGCCACTACCACAATATGAGAACCTTTGGGAAAGTATGGGGCCGAAGCCACGATGCGATTTGGCCCCATCTATCTTCCTATCGCCCGGGCCTGCCGCTATCTTTTTGGTATCGGCTTAATCTTAGCAACCAAGATAACAGGTGAAGAGCATGCATCCATGTTCATACAAGTACTCGTAGCTGCGCGATCATATCTTTGCCCTATAGTACAAGACTGATGTGCTCGTGCCAGATAGCGCCCGGTTACACACCATAGTGCCGCCTATGCTGGGTTCTGGCGCGCGGATTCTTGAGACACATATTGTCTGACCCAGTCCACATCTTTGCGGGGTTCGGTCCATTCAGCGATGTCGATAACTTTATGTACATTGTACATTGTAGATTCATCAGCATTGCTGATCTGATCCAGTGGACCGTTGGCTTCCCTCCTTACGGGAGGGGGGGAAGAAACCAAAAGAGACACGTATTACATCAGGTACTCCGTACATGTATCAGAGTGTGGAGCGGGCTTCCCCGTGGTCACTGCCACGGTCGAGTAAACATCACCACCACACGCAAGCCAACCTGTCTACTCGTACAATGGTCTTTTCCCAACCACTCTGCCCCGTGTTTGGACACCCACGCAGCCCACGGATCTCTCTCCCGGTGCCGTGAATCCAGCGGTGAAGGGAGAAGTTCTAGCCCTCCACTGACCGCCTCCTGCGAGGGCCTGCAAGGTTTGTCCTTGCTTCTGGGCGAGGCATTTCTCTGAGTGGCACGACTTGCTACCGCTCATGACGTGGTTTCACAACCATCACGCGATGAGCTTCCCCAACCCTCCTTCGTTCCCTCGGTGATGTGATCTCGACCACCCCTCTTCTTCTTTGGTACGAATGTGAAGCTATATCGTGATCGGTGTAAATCATGGTCCGCCGAATGGCGAATCCATGTCAACACGCAATACATTACAGGGGCGAGATCTTTTATGGCGTGCACGACTCAGTTTTGGTGGTGGCCACAGGCCCGCCCTCCCTTTCGGTCCCTTCCATCGGCCGTCGCCGTTGACTCCCTCCCTCCCTCCCTTCGCCGACGCAGGCAAGTCGATGCAGGTGGGTTTCGTCATTTAGGTTGGATGGGTTTGATGCAGGCCTGCACGGCACGGAGACGGGCAGAGTCGCGGGTCGAGTCTCAAACGCGCCGAGAAAAGCTATATCCTAGCGACCGTGATAGCCCTTCTCAGGTCTATCTTAGATACTCCGCACCTCGTCTCCCATGGGATGCCCCGTAGTACGGCCTACTCCATCCTATAGACTGTAGATTCCATCCCCTCGGGACCAACTCATCCCCTCCTCCCGTCATGATGATCATTGATGATCCTATGATTCTACAGTATGAGTTGCAACGTGGTCCGCTTTTTGGGGCATGTTCGGCAAATTACTCTTTTCAGGAAGTTGCTCATCTGGTCGATCAACATGAGACGGAATCCGACTCCGACCTACTCCGTACTGGGTTTGCGTTTGCGTACAATGACATCGCCCTCATCAATATGATGTGCCATATGATTTGGATATGCAATATGTGTTATCTAGGGTGTGATTCCATATGCGATATTGACTCCGAGTGGCGAGCTGTCCCATCGAATGTTTCGATTCGAGACTTCAAGAGGCCGTCATGGCCATCTGTTCTTGGGGGGAGGAGTTATCTATGGTTTACGGGGACCTTAGTACCTTACGGTAGCCCAGACTCCGCGGTCCGCGATAACGGGAGATTCCAACGCCCTAGTGAATATAACTCAGTCTAACGGGCTGTGGTAGGCCAAAGATAAACTTGATAACTTGTCTAAAGTTCCAAAATTCCCCTCCATAATGGTACAGGGGAGGTGAGCCATGGAACGCGTTGGCTGTTATCGCCCTTATTTTGGGCCTATCAGTCTACCCCGCACGATCGCCATTCCAAAGTCATCTCCAGATGAATTCTAAATTCTGATGGGAAAGGGGGTTGGTTATGTGCCGCCGATATTGGAAGTATGTTTTGACCTGAGCTGACCTTCGTTTGGGAATTATTGAAGGAGAGGGAGGAGAGAGGAGGGGGGGGGAGGTCAGCTTAGGTAGACCACAAAGGTACCCCCCCCCTATCCAAGATTGGACTAGGGAGACCCTATATCTGCCACTTGATATAATAATGATCTCACTACTCCGTACCCTACGAGTACTCCGTTCCAGATGTATGTTCGTATCTCATCCCATTCATATCTTCTTTTTCCTCCGAGCGCTCGAGCCAGAGAGACCGGGGGGGAGGGATAACAGTGACACCATCGTCTCACCTTGGGGGCCAAGGGGCTGAGCCAAACTAGCCCCAAAGAGGAGCATCATCGTGCAAACCATTGGAACTTTGTCGACGCTACCCCAAACCAGCTGACCAGGGCGTTTCCCCCGGATTCTGGTCCGAACGGGGACAATTGAAGATAGCGTCGTCTTTATCCCACAACACCAACAACCATGCTCCACATTGGAGTAAATAAGAGAATTGGCTTTTCTGCCGTCCACCCCAAATCAAAATTATAGGGAAAATCCCGGCGTTTGATCCAACGATTGGCCCGGTTGGCCCCAATAAACACCCTCCACGAAAGCAATGACCCCTTCTTTTTTCTGATTACGCCCACACTTCCAGGGCTGAACTGCAGCCATCGTTTCTCATTTCTCATTTCTCATCTCCCATCAAGGTCTCGTGCCGCGTGCCTCTCATCGTTCCTGTTTTATTTTGACTTTAGAGGGGGCGCGGCACTTACCTTGATCCGAACTGTACAATCTCTTGCATTGCATTGGACGACGTACGGAGTACAGTATGACAAGGTATAGATCGACGGATGGTGCGACTCCCACAGACCAGCATGCTCAAGGGGGGGTTTTTTGGTCATAGCACCAGTACTGGCAGCACCGTAGCTCAGCTTTCCAGGGTCGCACGCAGGCGGCAGCGCAGGTCGCAGGTCGCAGGGTACAGGGTACAGGTTGCACCAAGCATGCCATGAGCCCAACCTCTCGTAGGTCTGTTTTTCTCCGTGTGCGACCTTGCCCTCCGCAATGCAGTCCCAACAGAAATCGGATCGTTCGTTGCCTCATGCCAGGGGAGCATTTTATGCGCAATGTTCCAAATTGTTTAGTGGGTGGTCGGCCAATGGAAGTAGATTCGAGCGACGAGATCAAGGTCAAGTACAGTAGATATTTTTGTTCTGGTATCAATTTACAAAATCATGCTCGCGGAGAGACATTTCTATCCCTTCTCTCTTCCCATTAACTCAAACTCAATCAAGAGCAGTCCATCTATCCCCATTGCTCCTCTCAACCTCCCTCGCCGTCCTACCAACCATTCCTTTCCAAAACTCCGACGTCCCATCCGGGACTAACTCTTCCACCTCGAGCGAAAGCAACGTACTAAACACCCAATCCTGGCACTTCCTCGATCCATCTCTCGGTGCAGGCTCAGACTTGATGATCTGAATCGCCTGCAGTCGCTGCTGCGGAGTCAACTCAGCCAGCCTACACAATCCGAGGGCCTGCATGTCGACAATATCGGTATTGGACCTTGACTCGAACTCGTACCAAAGTCGGTACATGTCAATCAGGCGCACATGAAGCAGGTCTCCCGTTGTGTTTGGCGGCTGATGGATCATAAACCCCCAGTGGGAACGGTGGTTGGGATCCTCGCCGGTACCGAACACCTCTATCGATAATTGGTAAGCCATGGCTGCATTGCGTTAGCGATGGCTTCATGCTATGCACTTGTGCTATGTACATGTGTACGTATATAGCTACCGTAGATGCAACGGGCACCGCTCCGAGGTTGTTCTAGCCGAGATTGGATGGCTCGAGGGGTAGAACGAAGCTATCAACGGGCCTTCGTGGCGGTTGATGGCCTATATTCTCAGGCACCGCTTCGGACTGCAGCAGCACGTTTTGCAGCGTCTTGCATTTCTTGGTATCGAACATTGTGGTTCTCATAGCGATGATCTTTGTGGAAATCCTCGATGGAGAGAGACCATGCTTATTGAATTAAACCTCTACGTAGAAAGCAATGGCAAGTAATGCCGATCTACAACATGGGCCTACTCGTAAGCAAGGCGCTTGGTATGAGCTCAAAACACCATGTGTTACCTCAGTTGCTTGCAACTGACAGGTCAAGTCTCTCCTAACGGTTGCCAAGTCAACAAACCGGGGTACATACGAGGTGACACGATGAGTGTTAAAATCCGCTCCTATTCTGCCACTTGTAATACAGTTTCTCGCAAATCGGAACTGACCTACCACTATGTACATCCGATGTATGTCAGAACAAACCAATAATTGACGCATCGACTCAAACACAGTCAACACTGAAATCTACGGCTCTGTTGGTAACCCTGACACGATCCGATTCCACTTGATCTTCTCGAAGAAGACAGGGACTCATTCAGGCCCAGTGTGTCGGCAACATTCGCCACCGGTGGGATACATACTGTATGTACATACTCGTAGATACCCTGCCACATTCCATCTGCCCCGTCAACGTCATTCTGTAATTCAGATTTCGCAGCTTTACTCCGTAATCTACTGTACAATGTAAATGGTATCCACTGAGGGCTCCAATTTAGATTACGTGGATCCATGATGATTATGATGTGAATTATGATGATGGGTATGATGATAGACATGTCTGAAACGGGCTGGATCTGCCAACGAACGCGGGTGCGGTGGGGTCCGGCGCTTGCAACCCACCTTTTCGATTTCTATTTCCGTTCCTGACCAGCGCGAAAGCATTGGTTCTGGAGCTCTGGATGGTCGGAGGGATGTTCTGGGCCGATTTCTTTTTTTGGTCTCTGTCTTTAGTCATTCTATTTTCAGATTCGAGTTTCTTAAGCAACGCCTGTTCTGCACGCGCGTGTTCTGGGTAAGTGGCGGGTGCAATCAGCGTAATCAGTTGTGTTAGCAATGGGCAAACGCTTTCTGAATCAACTAGATCCAGTGGCGTCGGGGGATTCGAGACGAGAGCTATCGAGGGTGCCTGTGCCATTAGTCTTGAATTCAGGTCTAGCTTGTCTCTACTATGCTTATACTACGGAGCAATGTAGGACCATCCATTGACCTAGTAAATCTTCAATTCCAATGTCTATACTGCCTAGGTGCTAGTAGAGAATTGAATCTGTACTTATTGTTTGATAAAAATAGTCAACTTCCAAGGTTTATTCCAAGGTTGCTACTGGTAGTGGCTGGGAAGTACTACCAGTACTTACTGGCAATATGCTACTCTGTCCATCTGAGCAGGTACTCGTATATATCTCCGCCCACAGTGACACCCACACCTGGGGTGCAATTCCGTACTACTAGTACTATCACCAATCCATCATGATTAACCACCTGAGCACACCAATTGTACTACTACTACCCCCCCCTACAACTACACTACTTTCCAACAGTCACGAGGCCGAGTCAGAGATGAATCATAAAATGGCCACCTCCAATTGGCTCGAATCGACCAGGAGGCCCACCTGCGACGAAAAAAAAGAACATCAAGGAGTCGCTGAGATGTCATCGGCTCCATGATGCACCATGAGCAAGCGCTCTTTCGAGGAGTTAAGGGGTCCTCCCGAAACAGATCACAATGGTCTGCTGGCCATCCAAGATTTGCTCTCTCCCGATGAGCGAGAGCCAACTCCACCATCCGGTCCCTCAGGTTCCAAGAAGCCCCGGAACTTCATCGCCACGGTGGTGCGCAATCCCCAATGTCCCTGATCGAACTGGAGAAAACGGCTAATACCAAACATAGGCCTGCGAAACATGTCGCCTGAAGAAAACCCGATGCGACGAGTCGCGGCCGAGATGCGGGCTCTGCAAGACCCTCGGTCTCGAGTGTGTTTACAATGAGCGCAAATCATCCAAGTAAGCCCAACCCAATAGATGGCCTTGCTTCGTCCAAATTCGAATGCATATCAATTTTGATACATGGGGAACTGTAGCTAATCAAATCAAAAGACGAGACCAATCTCTAACGATGATCATGAGTACTCTACATCGCCTGGAGACAAAATTGGAGAACATTCCATCATCCATATTAAATGATATTCGTGGCCAAGTGCACCATGTTGTCGATAGTCCCAACTCGGCGCATCAATCGCCCGCAGTTCGCGATGACAATAAGCCGGTGGCGATGTCAACATCGCTCAGCTTCACCCCCGCAGCTGGGGATGGATATGACTTTGACTTTGAAGAGAACAACGCTACACCAGATGCCTCCGGCCGTACCTCTATCTCATTCAGCCAACACGGAGTTATTCTCTGGCCGGGTGCGCGGCAGATTCTTCCTGATAAATTGCTTAATTCCTACAAATTGCTTGGAAAGAACTACGTGATCGAACTGGAGTCGACGCGACCACCACTCCCGATGTTCACCGACCCATTTCCCCTACATGCCGGAGAGCACTGGCTGGAAGTTCTCCCTATCACAATGATCAAGGGCCTGGCCGATGCCTTTTTTCAGTGTGTTCAACCCCTTTACTCCAATCATGGACAAGAGCTTTTTCTTCTCCTTTACCCTTGGCTCTGCTATTGAAAGCAACTTCGGGTATACCATGGAGAGCTGTATAGTTCTCAATGTTCTTGCATTGGGCTGTTTGGCTGTATTGGCATACCAGGAGGGAAACTATCCACTGTCTGATTCTCATGGAACGCATTTCGAGCCACCGGATTGGATGAATGTGGTATACGAGGAACAGTCTGGGCTGAGGTTTTTCAACGAGGCGCGTCGACGCATTGGCTTCTTGATGTGCGACAACGACATACAAAGCTGCCAATTCTATATGCTATCCTCGTATGTACCTCGCCACTACTCACAACAGATTCCATACTAACCGCCAACAGCGTATATTATAGCCAGATACTCCGGCCAATGGACGCCTGGGCTATGATCCATCGCGCTGCAACATGTTGTCTATCAATGCTAACGAAGTAAGTAATGCTTTCTTCCATTCATCCGTGTGAATTCAAAGTGCAACATGCTAATCAAGCTCTAGTCATGATGTGAACTTCGACCAATGGGAAGGCGACATGAAGTCCCGCGTCTACTGGAACTGTCTCATGAACGAAACCATCCTTGTCCAAGAACTTCACCTCCCACCAAGTGGTCTATCGCGCCTCGAAGAGCGAGTTCCAATACCCAAGTTCATCGGCTTCCAAGCAACAGGCTACATTTCAACCCGATACCCATCATCGACCGTAGTCGACGATTCCTACTTCCAATACCACTTCCTCGCACAGGTGGCCCATCGAATTATTCTCACTCGCATCCGCCATTCCCTCTACTTCTACTGTTTGTCAAACCACAACGAGTATTTACTGCTATCGAATATAGCTAACAGCTCACTAGCCGACTCGGGGGCAATCCCTTTGCCCGCCGTCAATACCGAACTCCACCACCAACTTGAACAATGGCGCACCAACCTCCCACCCGCCATCAAATTCTCCGACCCCCAACCAGCAACTTCACATCCCACGCCTGCCGACCCTTCAACTTCCATCCACCCGTCACCATCTTCAGTTGCATCTCCAATCCCCGCTTCGCCTAGACCACAAGATTCACTTCGTCCCCTCTCCCCAGCAGTAGCGGTCACAGACGCAATGCTGCGCGGCCGACATATGATCGCTCAGTTCCACATCGGCCGACCATATCTGTACAAGGCACTTCGAATCCCGAATCTCCTCACCGATGATGATCTAGAGCAGATCAAGAGTGGGTTACAGAATGCTATGGACTGGCCTGTCACGCAGGGGATATTCCGGAAGATGACGAGTTGCATCCCGATCAAATTTGCCTTCTGTTCACAGTGAGTCATCCTATCCTTCAATAGCTTTTTCTTTTATTTTTACTCCTCTACCGGACTAAGCTGATAAATATCCGTGATAGATTTTTTGGACAGATCCTGCTCTTCTATTGCATTGCACACTCTCCTAGCGCACGGGTCCGTGATACATTGCCTGCAGGCTGGGAGCGCTGGAATGAGGAGATGTTGCATTTCCTGGATGACTGCGCACGACATAGTCCTGCCGTGGCGCAGGATCTTGAATTGCTGCGGTTATTGTGGCCGGTGCATGAGTAAATGCGTCTGCTACAGTTCTGTATATTGGCCTTGTTGGCGTATCTTTCTTTTTCTTTTTGTGATGATGGGTATGGCCTCTTTAAATGTTATTTGCATGGAGTTGACTGAGTTGGGGTGTTTACTTTGCAAAAGCTTTGCGACGATACAGACAATAATGATAGATTTCGAATTCTATACCAACAGATATTTACGGCGGCGTGTTCATGAAAAAGGGTATTGCGGAACAAAATCCCCCCTCTTGTAATGTGCAGCAAATGGGAAGAGTCTGCTAGCTAGGCAGCATGAAGCCATACCATAGAAGACAGAAACGGCATGCAAATAAAAGAAACGATGATTAAAATTCTCCAAAGTTTATAGGGCCCATTCGTTTGAGGCGTCCGAAGCTGTTATGAAGGGTTTGTCGATTTGCTTGATGGCATGGTCACCACATAAAATGCTAGTAGATCGGTTAGTACGGGAAACAGGCTAGGAGAAATAAAGTAGAAACTTACCAAGCTTCGGCAACAAGTCCGTCTAGTTCTTTGACAATCTCTTCCCTCCGCGACGTAGAGATATCGCCCTTGCTGAGCTGTGCCTGCAAATCTCGAATATATTTCTTCTTTCCTCCAGCGCCTTCCAGAACCTCCTTGCCTAAGCAGTCGCTATGGAAAGCGTGCTGGCATGGAAAGACGAAGAATTGACGACTCAGCAAGGGTAGTGAGCAGATCCAGCATTTCTCACCAGGTTCCACGATTGCGTAACGGGAATCTAGGTCGGAAATCTCATTGCGAATTTTCCGGGCCGTCTGTGCTGAGTTATCCATCTCTCGGCGTAATTCATCAATGTGGCGCGAATATTCTTCCAAGGCAGCGCAGATTTCATCTTTGAAGTCGTCAATGACAACGAAGTCAGGGAAAAAGGGGATGAGATCCTCGATGCGAAGAAGTTCACAGCGGCCCAGAAATGCCATTGCATCTTTGATACCTGTCCCTGGCTGTCGGATCTTTTTCTCGGCTACCAGTAGCCACAGTTTCTTGCGGAGCTTGTTGTTGCCTTCAGGGCGGTCCGCAACGATGGCTGCAAGATCGATGTCGTTGTGGTCCAAAGCCAGCTCTACTGCCTGCAGGTACTGGCCCATAGCGCTGTAGATATGAATGCATGACTGGACTCGCTTGTGCTGAATACAGAGTCGGAGGGCAAAGTCTGCGTCGTAGGGAGGTGGTGAAGATGGCTGTGTCTGGAGATATGTGAGAAGTCCACCTTCAGAGGAAGATGGACTCGAGGCATGAATTGAGATGAGCGTGTTGTGCACAGCTGCGGATGGCTTAGGATGGTTGATGATGATGTAATTCAGGTAGCGAACTGCCTGATTCTGGCTGAGGGAGACATTGGTCGTCTTGTTGTAATTCAATAGGGCGGGGATGAGCTTCTCGGGGTCGAGATTCGTTTGCCGCATGAGGATCTCTATTAAACCGGTAGCAGTATGCGTCATGAGCACACTGCTATACTTGTAAAAGACATCAGGCTCGCTTTGCCGTTGTAGGACGTTGAGAGCCTCCGACCACTTTTCTCTTTGAATCCAATATGTTAAAACGTAGTTATGGTCGTTGGCAGCGGTTGCAAAGAAGAGCAGCTCTTCTTCTCGCCCATGGCTGCTAATGATGTCGTAGGCGGTCTTTTTGTCCAGGTCTGATTTGTAGTTCTTCACGAATTCCTGGAACTCCTTTCGGACACTGCCGAGTTGATCCTGAATCTCCCCAGGGGTAACACCTTCAATCAATTCTGCCTTCGTAGCAATATCATCATCCAAAGAATTCAACTTTGACATAAAAAGTTCCACAAGCCAACTGGCTACCATCAATCTCTGCATGATAGATGCTTTCTTGTACATCGATAGTTGCGAAAGCAAGTATTTTCTCAGGGCATCGTGTTCCTTGTTGTCCACCATGGTCAAGCACACCTCCTCAAATCCCTTGCTGCTCTTGCCCCATACTTTGGCGGCTTCGAGGAAATTGCCTTCTCCGGCCAGGAAATCGCCCGATGCAGTCAAGATAGCGTCTCTCTGAGCCTGGCTCTTGGCAAAATGAAGTGCCTCGTCGAACTTCGTCTCCTTCAGAAGAACTTTCCACACGTCCCTATCTTCGTCGTTGGCTACAACCTCGAAGATTTCTTGGCCGGTGAAGAGCCAGTAAGTGTTTTGTGTCAGATCAGTCAGAAGACCCAAGGCACTTTGTCTAGGCTCCAGAACAGCCTCATCGTACACAATCTCCCCATTGAGGCGATTGACGGCAACCACTCTACCCTCGACAAGTGCCAACACATGCCATTGGGACAAGGTCACAGCAGAAATAGGATCCTGTATTAGCTTCTTACCACCCCGGGCAGATTGGGAGGCAGGAAACTTCGATCGGGAAATCATTTTGGCCTTTTCAAATGGGGCTGAGGATGCAAGCTGGCCATGGTAGATACCCTGTGAGCTAAGCCATGCAAACTCCTTTTCGGTATACCCCTCGGCAGGAGTTCCAGATGAGGAGGACGAGGAAACAACCAGCGAAGAAGGCGCAGAGGCAGAGGGATTCGAAACATCATGCGTCGATGGCGTTTCGCGTTGAAACAGATCTGTATATATAGACCCGCCGCCTTCGCGCCCGTGCTTCGCAGATCCCGTGCGACCTAAGAAGTGCGTCAACTTCCCGTATGTCGCGAGAAGAATTCGCCTTTGCTCGGGCTTTGAGGGGACAGGTTCAACAGAGATTCCAGTCACTGGGGAAGCTTCCGGCACTTTGTAAACCGCAGTGACATATTTCTCCTCGCGTCGATAGAACTCCGTAGACGGCTCGATGTAGGTCTCATAGACATTGCCATCGGTGGCACCTAGTAAGATTTCACGCGTAGAGGCAGTCGGCAGAGAGGGGTTCCAGGCAACACTTTCGATGGATACACCCTTTAATCGGGACAAGGCCTTGGGCTGTCGCGACTGGGTGTGGAGGTAGTAGTTCTCGCCGAGAGTGGTGCTGATAATCAGGTGAGACGCAGAGGGATCGAGAAATATGCGCCGGATGAGACCGGTCTCCGAGGACTTCTTAGGGAGGTCGATATCTGCGGTGAGGGAACACAGTTAAGCTCCGAACGATGCGGCTAGCATTGCGGGGTGGGAGATCGCATACCATCAATATCCTCAGGGGTGTCTAGATCGATCCGAAGAATTCGGTTTGTAGAAAGGGCTAGCACTAGGACATTGTTGGCGACTTGGGCTGCCACGAAGTCCGCGGCGATCTGGAACTGTAGCTGCACTCGTTGCACGTCGAAGATGGGGAGGGAGTCGTCTGCGGGCTCCGTAAGGTTGTTGGGAGCAACATAACTGCTGGATCCTTCCAGCGCCATGATGCGCAAGATCCAACTATATCATGCCGAGCGTCCAAAGAATAGGAGAAAGCTAGTGAGCTTCGGATTGAGCTTGATGGCGGGAAGAGGACTGGGAGCTGGTGGAGTGGAATGCGGAGGGCTGGGCTGGTTTCAGTTTTGCCTGAGGCCCCAAGGCTGCCACCGCGGGATTACATAGTAACACATAGTTAATAGCCTGAGTTGACAGCTAAACTACTAGCTGGCAAAAAGATGGATTAGAAGGTTACATAAATTGTCTATTGATTTATCAAATATTTCCACTGGTTTATTGCTGGGGTATCATCCATAGTCAAGATGCAATAGTTGGAAAGATATACATGAAACTGTGGGGGTATCTCCGAATGCAACTCGGCATCACATCACAACACACTCTCGCTCCGGCTTTCGGGTCTTCTCTTTCACCTTCTCCTTCGACTTGTCCTTTGTCTTGTCCCTTGTGGCGCGGTCTTTCGTTCGGCCTCTGCCAGTCTTCTCTTTACTGTCGTATGCGGCAGGACCAAGTTTCATTTCATCTGGGATTGTCTCATCTACCTCATTGGCAGACTCATCCCCTTCCCCATCACTGGTGAACCTATCCTTGCTCAATCGCCCAGTAAAGCGGGAAAAAGTTGTACCGATCTTGTTATCCCCGGTCTGGCTGGCGGCTCGGCTACCGGCGCGACTCCCTGGGTTGCTCTTGGAATTGCGTGAACCCCGTCGGAAACTAAATGAGTTCTTTGGCGCTTCTTCTTCCATGGGGGCTAACTTTGGCGACATGGACGATATTGATCGTGCCTGGGGACCGGTGGGTGCTGTCTCGGAGAAGATCACACTGGAAGGTCTTCTCCCGGTACTATTCAAGGCTTGGGCGCTCGGGCTATCAGGAGCAGTGATTTCAAAACTGGGCCGAGCAGAGTTCACTTCGGTCACGCTTCCATCTGTTTCATTTCCAGAAACGTATCGGTATTTCTGGGCGATGTCGGCCATGTCCACGTCAAGAGTAGCATCGGATGCACGTGACGAGGGTGCTTTGTTGGGAAGATTAGCCAGCGAGGCGTCTTGGTTAATAGGAAGAATTTGGTAAAATAGAAGATAAGGTGACTCCGTCCTCAATGCAGTTTCAATATCAATGAGGGTCACTCGTTCTGCAGCGAGATCATCGAAGCGCATCCAGTGTTTCGGCGTCTCAAGCATGTCGGAGCTACCACTAGAGGTGGAGGGTGTAAGGTTGGCACTGGTCCCACGGACTATGGAAATATAGTGTCCCGAGTCGACGGAGTTGCCGCGATGACAGACCATTGCCTGGAGAGAAAGCTTGAAATTCCCATAAATCGGTGCATCTGCATCCATGTTGTCATCTTGGATAAAATGAGGCAGACCGATCTCAGTTGGAATGTCGATGTATGTATCCCGTCGAGTGGCGTTCCCGTTTGGAGTAAAGGAATAGCGCTTCAAACACATGCCAAGAATGGGTCGTTTGGAAGCAAAGTGTGCTGCCACTTGAGCATCGTTTGTCGGTGAATTCTCCGTGTACCATGCTGTACGGACATAGACGTCAGTTTGATGTCACCTCGGGCGAGGAATGGGAGAACGTACGGATCAGACTGAAGAATTGCCAAGCTGGCATCATTACTTCCTTCCTAAATATGCCTCTTCGCTGTTGGGGGTCTGAACCTGATGGGGGCTGATTATTCGTCGTTACATCTGTTGGATCGGGAATAAATCGTTCTTGAACAATGCTGTCTCGCCGGGTAATCCCTCTTCTTGGCATAGTTTCGGAGGTATCTGAAACGGATGTCCATGGGCTGGGCCGCTCAACCTGGGGCGAGTTAGATTGAGCTGGGGATAGAGTCGGTGTTGTTTCAATTTCCTCGATATGTGCTGTAAAACCCTTCGAAATAGACATTGAATCCACAGAGCGAACGGAGCTAACGGTATTCCGCCGTTCTAAATGCCGCTTCACTTCAATTCGATTGTTGAAGTAAGCTTCCAAGCAGTCTTCGAGGGTCAGGGTTGACCCATCAGTGGGTTCGGGTGGAAGGGCCACCTCAAGTAGTCTTTCGTTAATGAACTTGTGGTCATCACTGGCATCTTCCTTTCCAGTGTGATAGATGTCCATTTTGAGGGTGAGGAGAGGAAGCTCAAGTGCTCCCGTTATGAAAGTGAATGCTTCAGAGGCGTCCTGCTGTCGGAGGTTGGCTGCATCAGGCCAGCCACATTCTGCGAGGGCTTCTTGTATATGCTTGGTCTGTATATTTGATTAGTTCAAAGTACCGACACAGCAATATTGATCCAATGAGTAATGACTTACAATGTCTGTGGTAATAAGCCTTCCGCTTCGCAACATATTCACCCAGAACCGCAGCAAAACAGCCAGTTTCCGGCGAGGTTCGTCGTTGAAGGATTTATACAAGATGGCCTCGAAGCAGTCGAGCCGCGCAAACATGGCAAAAAGGAGCGCATCTAGATAGCACGTCACGCCGCTTCTGTTTTCGGCACCAAGCAGCTTTGTATTGGGCGTGTAGCTCCGGATGATACCCTCAATCGAATCTTCCAGTAATAACAGCAGAGCGACAGCGGTGTCTACATCCCCATTTGCAGAAGTGAGCGCATAACTGAAATTCTTCTCTTCTAAAGTCGTGATTCCTAGTGCTCGGATCCGCTTTTCGATAATTTTGACCTATGTAGGAACCAAAGTCATTAGATAGCCCAGTAACAGGTAAGTCGAAATGTGGGGGCAGTACCTTCTTCTGGTGCTCTTGATCGTCGTCCTTGGTAGCATGGGGGGTGAAAAAGCCTCGGAGTACTGGTCGAGCCAGTTCATTTGAGCCCTGAAAGTACGCAACATTAGTAAACAGGTTTCTTCACAGTAGCTATTTACTGGGTTTCAGATCATCGCCGGATAAGTACCTCCTCTTTGCTCTGTCGCGATCGACTGTGCCGATCGCGGCGGGTTGTTAAAAATCGGTGGATTCCACTCATGGCAGAGATATTCCCTTAGCGACAAGGGGTGCTTTGGATCGTTTTAGATCGTTGGAAGTGGAAGTTTGGAGAGGCGGCGACATGCGGGGGAGGAGAGCTCTGGGTTAGGAGCTTAGTTGAGGCTGTAGGATTCCCATGAGGCGCACGAAGACCCCATCATCTGCCAAGTACTTCTGACACTGACACGGGGCAAAATACTAAAGGGCCAGTCAGGATGCGTGAGATTTGTGCATGCGAAATGATAGGGAAAAGGTCTCACGGGTCGATCTAATGACCAATGGAAGCTAAACTGTTGATCACTTACCGCGGGGCAGTTTGCGCCGTCACCGCCTGATTTGTCAGGTGTCTGTCAGGTGATACACGTGATCAGAACCCGCCCCGAAATTTGTTTGTCGCGACGGACCACCTCGATGAATCTCCGAATCCAGCAACATCACATTATACACAAAATGGCTGCCAGGGAGCCATCCAGATACCTGGCTAAGGCTCTGCCGAGGGCATTTGCCCCATCAGCCCGCCCCCAGGCCTTTATTGGCCGACGCAATGCCTCCGACTCGGCCCCGACTCGACGTTTGTCGGACGAGCTGGAGACAGCCTCGTCTTTGACCTCCAAGGTCTCCGACAGCGCAGCGGAATCGTTCGACCCAGTTTCTCGAGCCAGTGCTCGCAGGTCCCAGCTTCCTCGCAGTCGGTATGTGATGGTCTCATGAGAATTTCGACTCCCTACCCGCAAGAACAAGGAAGTCTCTCACGACAGCATAAGCTAATATCGTCCTCCCAACTTTTAGATACCAATTCCGATCCCCTAAATATTACCGCGGTCCTCTCCACCCTCACCAACCCCCTGCTCCCTCCGATCCCTCTTCCCGCCTGTTCGTTCCCGGACCTTTCTCTCTCCCGCGCACCGAGCAGACCTACAACGCGACAGTCGCATCAGATATCATGACTCTGTGCTACGTGCATACACCACCCGGATTCAAGGCTCCCGTTAAGGCCCCGCGACTGCGCGAGTGGGATGACAGCTCCCCCTATCATAAGAACCGTCCCCTCCGTGGGCCCCGTGGCGGTGATGTGCTGCGATTACTCCGCAAGCCAATTCGGTTCAACAACATCCCCAAGATTGAGCGGATCACTGTTCACAGTTACGTTAAGCAGGCAGCACAGGAGAACTCGTCTTGGATCCATGTCGCCGGTATCGCGATCCAGGCCATCTCCAATGTCCGTGTCGAGACCTTCAAGTCGAAGTCTGCCGTTGCTACTTGGAGCATTGCCCCTGGTCGCGACACCGTCGCCGTCAAGGCGGAGTTGCAGGGCGAGACGATGCACCACTTCCTTGGAAAGCTGATTGATGTTGTTCTGCCTCGTATGAAGGATTGGCAAGGTATCAAGGGTAGCAGTGGTGATAGCAGTGGAAACATTACTTTCGGTCTGGAACCGGAGCATGTTGCCCTGTTCCCCGAGATCGAGGTCAACTATGATATGTGAGTTTTCCTCATAGCGTTTAGGCTTATTTCTTGCTACTAGTTACTGACTCTTCTCAAGGTATCCTCCCAAGATGATCCCGGGTTGCCACATTACCCTCCACACCACTGCCAAGGCGGACAAGGATGCCCGACTCCTCCTGAGTGCCATGGGCGTTCCTTTCTATGGAAAGATCGTCCAGTAAGGGGTTAATGGGACCGTATTTCCCAAAAAACACTCGCTTGTCTTTGGCATATGGCGTTGTGTTACTATCCAACCTGTAACTTTAGAGGTGACCTGCATAGTGGTCACTGTGATTCCAAACCTGTGTATTATCTCATTAACATCATCTTTCAAATCAAGCGTCAATTACAGTTAACTTCAATATCGTAAACTAAAAATTGTGTATTTTAAGACAGCGTTGCTCATTACAGTGGATGGTTGTTTTCAATACGAAAACTAGCATCGTAGACGTGACAGTTAATTTAAAAAGTCTAGTCCCCCTATCCAATCGATTCAGTAGCCGAAAGAAGCGACCCCAAGATAGCTCAACATTTAACTTAATCACCATCTTACACATCAAGGGGAAACATAACGAATGGGGCCAAGAGACGAAATGCGCATCACGTAATTGGCATAGCCAGGAACTTGCATTTCAGAAGCTCATCCGCACTGGGTCTCTTCTCATACTCATGTTGGAAGGTCATATCAAGAAACTCGCCCGCATCCTCACTAACATGTTCGGGAGTATGAGGGCGAGCCTTGTTACTACCGATAGCAAAGATGGCCTGCAGCTGACTGCAGTCTGGGAAGGGGTGAGCGCCAATGAACATTTCCACGACGAGACAGCCCAAACTCCAGATATCGGCCTTCTTGGTATGCGCTGTTTGGCGCACCACCTCTGGTGCCATCCAGTACACACTGCCTTGCATGGAAGGCCGGTGCATATGTCCAGCGCTGCCACCACCGGTACTGGCTCGAGAGCCGAGAACGGCGGATGCTTCGACGCGTTTGGAGATACCGAAATCGGAGATCTTGACGCCGCCCTTGTTGTCGACGAGGATGTTGGCTCCCTTGATGTCTCGGTGGATGATGTCACAGCTGTGCAGATACGACAGACCGGCTAGGATTTGCCGGACGAAGTTCTTGACTAGGGGCTCTTGGAAGGTGTTGTATTGCTTGAGCATGGTAGCGATGGAACCACCGGGCACATACTCCAAGAAAATGTTGAGATGCTGGTCATCGGTGCCAGTACCCAGGTATTGGACGATGTTGGGGTGATGCATCCCCTGCAGGAGTTCAATCTCGTGCTTGAGGGCAGTAACCATGAGGTTTTTGCGTTTGTCGAACTCTGTTCCTTGGGTAGCTGAGGGAATCTCGACCTGCTTAACGGCCATGAGTTCTCCAGTGATAGCATGGAGAGCCAAGAAGACACTTCCAAAAGAACCTTCACCGATGAGCGAACCCTTCATCCAGTTTTTGGGAGCAAAATTATTGCCTGCCAGGAAGTCATCCATCAAGCCTGCATCGTCCTCTTCTTCGCCCTCTTCATCCTCTTCACCCTCTTCACCTTCGCCTTCGCGCTCGCCAATCAGGACGCTCATACGTTCTTCATTAAATGAATCACCATCCGTTGCTGCAACACTCATGCTTTCATCCAGTATACTTTGGCGTGAGAGATTTGGCTCATCAGAGCTGCTCTCGAAGGAGACGTAGGATTTGCGATTCGGCTCGGTGGGAGATTCTTCCTGAAGGGGTTGAAGAGAGCTTGAGGCAATAGAATCGCGGTATGAGGTGTGAGGCAAATTAAACTTGGAAAGTGAGGGAGGCCGTGAGGCGCGTGCCGCTTGTGCCCCAGCTTGGGGCGGCTGGAACCACGAATCGGCAATGTTGGGCATAGGTGGGATAGGTGGGATAGGAGGTAGAGGAGGGAGTGGTGGCGCATCTTTGAGGCTTGAAGCAACACTGAAGTTACTAACAACACTCAGACGGCTCGCCGAACGACTATAGCGTTGGGATCTGCGCACAGTCTTTGCGATATCTTCACGATCATGACTGGGGAAGAACGATTGTAGTTCGTGAATGATCATCTCACTTGGAGGTCTCTGGCCGAAGAATGACCGTAACTTAGTAGCCACGGGGTTGCGCTCGCTGCCTGGAGACTGTTGACCCTGCTCGCCTGGAGTAGGCGACGGACGATGCCTAGGGCCCACAGGGGAGACTGGCTGCTTGGTATTGATGACATTCCATGGTTCTCCCGTGAGCTGCTGGATCTTATTCTTTTGGCGGAAGTTGGATTTGTTCATCGCGTTCTCATGAGTGACCTTGCTTTCATCGTAGGCAAGCTGGGATGCACGACGAAGCTCGTCCTGGTCTGGTTCTCCGGCATGGATCTTCCGGAGAATCAAACGACCACGTTCAGGCTTGTTCACGCCATCGCAAATCTGCAAGAGCTCGGCTTCAGTGAGTTTCCGGCAATTAGATAAGTCTGGTTCTAGGCCATCTAAGACATAGAAGCAGTAATTTCGGTATTGGTGTTCTGGGAGCTGCAGTTTCCTCAGTACTGATATAATGACCTCCTCCGGAGTTCTGCTGTTCCGGATATCGAGCACTTTAGTCTGTCCACCGGTGTATATAACACGGATTACAGGGCTATTTTGTGGGAGAGGACCCATAGTGAGACCATCAAGGCTGTTATTTCGAGGATGCGAGGCACCAGGAGTACTTGGGTTGCGTCCAGACCCTGAACCACTGGTGAGATAGCCATCCTTCCGCCAGGTCCGATCTGAATCAACCGGGGGCGAAGCAGGCTGCGAGGAAGATTTGTATCCATCCCGAGACCATCGCCGGCTGCTAAGACCCGAGCGAGTGCTTTCAGTTAACACTGCAGCTTCCATAGCCGCCAATTTTTTCTATCTCAGGTTAGTACATGGCAAGACTGAAAGGACCGGGGTTCGCGGGTTACCATATTCTTTTGCCTGGGGTCGACCATGGTCTTGTTTCGCAGCTGCTTGATAGCGACGAAAATGCGCACGCGGTCGCCCACCTTCTTTATACCCATTTCCTGCAGAATCTTTTGGTCGCAGTCGATTAAATTATCACCGTTGAAATTGTTCGCTTTGAGGGATCAGCATCCGCCCGAATTGCTCTGCGGGTCGAAAGGAAAGTTACCTCGGAAGAGCGACTCATATTGTCCGCACTTAATGCTGTGAAGCCATGCCACCACCTTCTTCTCATCCCAAGCCCTATATGAAGTCAGGAAACCTGCCATTTGCCCAAGATCTTTCCAATTTGATAGCTTACCGGACACCCAGTTGCTCATCGTGTCCCTCCGAGAACTCCGATTTGGTCGGGCTGGTGAATCCAAATCCCTCGGTCACTTTTGTTGCCGTCGCCGGTCTTTGGGAGGTTGAGTGAAAGGTGGTTGTAGAGCCTTGGGCTGTAGGCATGCCTAGGGAGGCCGAATATGGCGGTTGTGAAGCTAGCATCGTGAAGACGAGCTGCTAGGAGTCCAGCCTTTGTCCAAAGTATTCCTTCTTGATCTCTGGTTGGGCGATGGGGTTGAGCTCGATCGCAAGAGCCCTTTCTCCGCCTGCGGGCAAGAGCTTGTCGCGCCGGTCTCGATAGAAAGTCGTCGGAGGATGGCGGGGGTCAGCACATAGTACCGAAGGGAGGAAGCCTGTGGTTATTGGGTCTGTTAGATCGCGCGACTCTTTGGGACCAGTGAAGAGTGAACAGCGAATATTGGGCGTCGAGGCGTCAATGGGGGCCTGAGAGCGAGCCAAGGCTGACCGACACAGATGCTCGTACACAAACTGCGCAGAGAAGGCAGAGAGAAAAGAAGACAAAGGAGAGGGATTACATACCGGCACAATGGAAAACGTCTTTGTTCCCGAAGGCCGGAGGGGGACGATCGCGAAGTCTGAGCTTTTGGGGGGGGAAGAAGATGGAGATCGGGGAGGGAGCCACTTAGTGTGGTCGAGATCGGGCGTTTATCGCATGGAAACCCTGACAAACTCCCCACCGCAACAAATACGATCCAATCCAATGCTATTAACTCTACGTCCGGGAGATTGAGCGAGTTTTGTAGCGTTGGCTGAAACCTGAGACCGACGCACTCCATCAAGGGGTTGCTCACCGTCGTCTCAGCCTCCCCACGCGTTTCATGCCCATCGGAGGTGTCACGTCTCATCCCTTGCGACTCTGTCCTCTGTCCTACATGCCACAACGCGAGCTCGGACTCTGTTCTTGCCACTCAATTCAATAGTTCATGACAATCCGTTCGTCCTTCAGTCCAACTTCTTCTATTCAATCGTCAAAGAGATTCTTCTGGAGTGGGTTTCCGGCCGGCCCCACCGCTGAAACAGCGGATCTGAAGTCGGTCCTTACTGAGACCCAGTTGCATCTTGCCGATAGGTGTGGCCAAAAAACAGAGTTCCGTGGTTTCGCCCATGAACAAATTTAGAAGGGAAATAGGGCCGTGTGGCGCACTACGAATGAGACAAAACGGCATTCATTCATTTGGATATGGACCTGGATATCCAATGCTCCCAGCTCAACGTCGTGATGTCCCAAACCGCCTGTGATACTAGCAGCTGGGAGGATATAATGATACTAAACTGAAAGACCCGAGCAGACATCCGATGAACAGTATCCTGGGGGTTGAGGTGTGGGTACAATGAACTATAGAAGAGGAAGACTGCAAGAGACAAGAACATTCAAAGTTGCTGAACAGGGCATTTGCCAATACAGCTGAAGTCGAGTCTATTTCGTGGGCCAATTCAATAATCCATACACTGAATACTCAATGCAATTTCTTCGGCTTTCGACTTCATAGTCGCCCTAACCTAACTATCTATACACAGTGGTGTTGCAAAGGTTTGAAACCCCATATTGCCCACCATTATTGAATGCCAATGAGCTGAGATGGAATACATAGACCAATCTATTCCATCTTACGTAGCTACTAGTCCGCGATTAGAAGATGGAGACGAGAACAGTCAACATGGGGTTTCAAACTTTTGCAACGCCACCGTATGTGTCTTCACTCCCATCGATGGGAAAGAAAGTAAGATCTGGCAGCCGTCAATGCTTTTCTATGCAGTTCTGGTAACGGCTCTATTGTTTTCTGTATGTACAATCCCCAAATCATCTCTTCCCCCTCCCCCTTTTGGAGATGGTTCATGTGGCTTCATGTGGCTTCATGTGGCTTCTCCGCACCGGTGGAGCCTACTCACCGCGCGCCTTACCGCATGCATTCCCAACATTTCGCTTTGATTGCAGCTTTTTTGGCAATTTCTTCTAGACAGATTAATAATATCTCAAAAAGTCATTTCGATAGACCCTGGGAATTATCAACAGAACTTGATTAACCAAGCAATTGGTTTCATGCAATAATCAAGATGGCTTGGAGAGCTAAACCTATAGGAAACAATAAGAAAGAAAATCTATAAATATGTTTTATGGCATCTCTGCCCTCGTAAATGGCAAAGAATGTGCGAATTCAAGTTATAGACATGGGTATCCGATGCTAGCTCAACGATTCCAGATAGAAACCATTGTCGGAGTTTGCCTTACGAAACAGCAGCTTTTCTTGTCTCGTAGTATGGCCACAATAGATGACTGGCTTCCCTCATGGGCCCACAGCTGTGTATCACGGCGAATCTTAATTCAAATCATCGTCTTCCATGTTCCTAAAAGGATCATGGTCGAGCAATAGAATGACCGCAAAATTGCTCCCCTCCATATATGACTCAATCAAAGCTGCCTAGATATAATATTTCTTGCTATCTTCTGCTTCAGTTCTAGCTCCCAGCAGAACTTGAAGCTTCAGCATCCTCATCACCGTGAGATTTTGCGAAGACTAATGGGGGTGCCTCGATGATTTCGTATGTATCAGAGTAAGGGTCCGCGTTTTTTTAAGCAGCATCTTAGCCAGAACAATGTCGCTCTCTCCTATAGCGTACCATGAGTGGTAATCCTGTCTCCCTCCTCTATTCGAAGAGACAGCTATTTCTGAAGTCTACAATGGTTGAGTAGCAAAGTCACAATTGACTCGTACTCACCCCAAGCAGTCCAGGAATTTTATAGTGATATTTTTCTACGTCGGAAGCTTTGCCACCTTGAAATGCATTCTTTCCGGAGCCCGGGGGATAGGAGGGGATAGGAGTTCGGCCGAACCCATTCATTGGATTTAAGTCGACGCCTATAATAATGGAGTTGGTTGGCACTCCAAATCGCGAGTATTCACGTCTATGCCCAGACTCAGTTCTTCATTTATCATTTCTGTCTGTCCTTATGCTGCGGCTATTATAATATGTTCATTCCGTAGAGATAGTCTGTTATACATCTTCGCGAGATAGGGCCCAATGCAGGTGACATGATGCTATTTTTAAATTTGACTAATGCCAATGCTTGGCTAAAAGCTAATCGAATGACTTCAATATACGGAAATTCTTCAGAGTGGTGCTGGGAAAGCTTTCTTATTGCCTTGTGGTACCTGCTACATTAGGCAGGTGATTTTTGAGTGCTTTTCGGGGTCGCATAAGCTGAGAGACCCTGTGGAATATGATTTGAGCCGCAGCTCAAATAAGTAGTTTGTAGTCATTTCAGCCTGTGGGGCAAATATAATCGAGAAATGACAAATTATTAGCGCTCAAAGTCTTTGGCTGGGAAAGCTACTACTCGTAGTAGGATTTCTGGTAGGTGAGACATCATTTTCGAGACTATTCGCGCTAAAATACTGGGCAAAAAAACGGTTCCTGGGTTATCTTCTCCCAGACCCACCCACACAAGCGAAGGAAACTTTGGCACTCTCCATCTATGTACTACTAGATTGTCAGGTCACATCCATAAGCTCCACTACCTTTTGCCCCCAGATCGATCGACAGTTGACTATGTACGGAGTATCTAATGTTATCTAACGTGTTCTTAGTCAGTGAGCGACCATCGAGTTTAGGACGAAATATATAGACCAAGGGCGCCTACAAGAAGTTGCAATCTAATTTCAAGTACTTCGGGGTTGAGTTTGAAAGCCAAGTGTTGATTTTAAATATACTTAGTGTGTACATACTCCAGGTGTTTAGTGGGGGGATGCAGAGAGCCAAGAACAGGGAAATCTGCCTGGCCCTAGTGGATCCCAAGGTGAGGTCAAAATTTTATTCCGGAAAAGGGGCCAGTGAAGGCAAATTTCCCACTAGTAATTCTTGAAGACAGTTGTAATAATACCTACGACGAGAATCTCAAGTCTTCCAGCTGGTCATATAATCAAATTCATGAACTATGTAAACTGATAAATTGATAAATTCCAAGGACGGGTCTTTATAGAGGTGATCATGCTGATCCCTGGAATTCCAAGGTTGATTTCGAATTTTAATGGGTCTCCTACTCGGTAATCCTCGTACGAACTCACCCAGTGGAAGTCCAGATTGCGGCTCTGTGGCGGCTGACTGGCACGTGTAGCTCTTGATGTGGCAGGTGGAAAAGGTTCCAATGGTAGCAATTGGTGCCCATTGCCAAGTAGCAAACCTGCCTAGCGATAGAATGGGCTAATGAGGCCGAGAGTTAAACCAGTTAGGACTAGCAGCAGCCTAGAATTAGACCCTGCACCCAAACTTGAACTCTTTCAATGGGCTGGGGCTGAGACTAGTACTAGTACACTTATAGTTGGGCCTTGACGCCCTTTTCCCTGGTCACAGCTTATTCTCTCTATTACCTTGGAAGGCCCTTTTGATCCTCACCTTTTCAACCTTTCAAACACATCCAATCTCTCCATCAAAATGCACTTCAAAGTCATCCCCGCGCTTCTTATGCTGGCCCCGGCTGTTCTGGCCAACCCCGTTGCCACCGACGCCGCTGACCTCTCTGCTTCCGATACCGACGAACTGAACGATGCTCTCGCGAACATCCCCAGCTCGATCTTGACTGTGCTGGCGACCGCTATCCCCCAATCCTGGTACATGGAGCTCCTGGACCCGGCTTCCCAATCCGCTTTCCTGAGCGAGGCCTCGGCCGGTATTTACCCAGACTGGTACAGCGCACTTCCGTCCAGTGTCATCGCCTGGGCTAGCTCCGCTGCTGAGAATGGCGACGACTTCCTGTTCGGGAGCGCGACTGCCACTGACGAGAGCGCGAGCGGTTCTACTGCCACTGGCTCTCGCAGTTCTGCCAGAACTGCCTCTGCCTCTGCCACTGCCACCGCCACTGCCACTGCTACCCAGACCGAGACCGACTCGGAGTCCAGCACTGAGTCCAGCACTGCGACCAACTCCAACACTGATTCTACTACCGCCACATCAGATGCTAAGTCTTCGGAGACCGCTTCCAATACTGCTTCCAGCGCTGCATCCTCCACTCCCGCATCCGAGACCTCTACTGGCGGTGCTCCTCTCGCTACTGGAAGTGTCGCCATGGGCCTGGCTGGTGCTGCTGGCTTGCTCGGCCTCATTGCCGTCCTCTAAGCTTCAAGCCTCAAGGATTGTCTATGATGGTTCAATCTCTATGTCTTGATGTCAGGAAAATAAACACAAACACAATTTCAACTTGAAATGAAGCAACCTCTACATGAATCGTCCCATTCCACTTCTAGTTAAAATACATTTAATTTAATACTAGTACATCTAGTTCTTCAATACAAACCTTGAAACTGCAGTCAAATAAAGGAGCAAGGTTCAAACAGCCTGCCACTACTAGTATGTCTATCTCATTTCGAGTTTTGTTTGGCCATTCGATGTAATATAAACTTAAATTGTATTGCTATCTTGTTTGTTCTGATAATCAAATGCTCATTAGACCCGGCCTAAGGGGTGACGAACGTATTCAGGACGACGGGACTCTTCCAACTCGAAGGTTGGGGATATAAAAGACTCAGATGGATGGTCACTGCCCTAGAAGTTAAACCAAGCTATCGCAAGTACTTGTCGAGTATTAAAGCACTGCCATTCGCACTTTATTGGCTAGAATAGAGCACGCTTTAGTAAATTATAGCCTTGGGATATATTGAAATCTATCAGTATTTCTTTTTCAGTGCCTGTTTCACAGAAGCATACGTACTTACTTTGTGCCCTGGAACTAAGCCCTATCTTCTTGCCTTTGTTTTCCGCGGGTAAACATACAAGGCAAGACCTAGTTCCGAATAAAGAAGATCGATTGGACATCTTATTTGGACTTGAAGATATGAAACACTTATCTCTGCCGTGCTGATCGACAGGTCGGCTGTCGGCTTCAGTGGCCTTTCCGGTGCGTACAGTGAGATCTCCTACTCCTCCTCCATCATCCCCCATTCCCCTCCCGTCTCAGCCACGCCTCTCCCCCTTCACTTCCAAGCCCGGACCGCTCCAACCAGCCCACCTCAATCCCAGACTATCCCTGCATGTTCCCCATATCTTTATCTGATAACCTCTTCATTCCCACCCCCTCCTTCGGTTTCGACTCAATCGCTGGCTCAGGCACAGCCGGACATACCGCCACGTGACTTCGTCTCCCCTCACTGGCGCCAAACCCCACAGTTTTTTCTTTCCCCGCTCAGCACTGGGCATCGAATTCTTTCCCCTCTCTTCCCCCCAGACGGAACTCCAAACCCCAAATATGGACGACGAGAAGGCAAAAGTCAAGAAGAAGGGTGCCACTCACCGCAAGTCCCTTTCTTGCGAATACTGCAGCCGATCGTTTGCCCGCCTGGAGCATCTCCAACGCCATCTCCGCACCCGTTGAGTAACCCCCTCTCACCCAGTCGTCGCTTTCCTTCCCCTAATGTAGGACAACAGATACCAAAGAGAAACCCTTCTCATGTGACATCTGCTCAAAGTCCTTTGCCCGGAGGTAAGCTTGACCCCATCTCCTATTCAATCTGCCAATCGCTTATATCATTGGTATTCGCAGTGACCTCCTGGTACGACATGAGCGATTGGTCCATCCAGCCGAAAGTGCGGCCGGTCGTGAACATCGCACGCATAACGGAACCGAGAATAACCACCACGAGATTCCAATTCAGTCGTCTATCATTCAACCTGCCCATCATGAGTCGCGCATGTTAGAGCTGGCCGACGCTATCCCGGTCCATACCCAAGTCCCCCCTCCACCTCCCGAGGTCCAAGTCCAACCACCCCCTATAGTCGAGACTACCCACTTCAATCCCTCCTGGGGGTACGACTTGAATCTCTTATCGCACGCTGCGAGTCATGTTGCCTTGGAAGGTCAACAAGAGAGTCTGGATTCCATCCGCAAATCCTCGCATACAATCGACACCCCGTCCCAACCTCTTCCCGCGCCTCCGGAGAGAGCCATCACCGACAACTATGGTGTAGAGCCTTCATTTCTTGATCTTACAGATCTCGGAGACCCCGTTCAAGATTTCACAGTCTTCTTAGAAAGTGTCGGCTTATCATCTGATTGGGACTCGGGGGTCTTCTCCTCAGTTGAGGAGACCATGTTGCCGCCAGGTCTCTCGATCGACTCGAAACCGCATGTCCGGGATACACCGGCATCTGCACGTCTTGGTGCTGATCTTATGAGTGATGTGCGAGTCCAAGCGGATGATCCACCTTCGTTTTCTAATTTCGGCTCTCGCTTGCCATCGCTGCAGCCCGAGTCCCACGAGATGGAAGATCGCATTGGGCTTTCAGATGATAGCGCACGCCCAGCATGGGATATCACTAATGCCGATCGCCAAATCTTTGTCTCCAAGCTGGAGGAATTCTCCTTTGTTCTTCCCAAGGGCTTTGTGCCGCCATCTCGGCATGCCCTGTCCCGGTTTTATGCTGGATACATCAACGGATTGAATGAACATTTGCCCTTTGTACATGTCCCTACACTTTCAATTGCCAAATGTTCACCGGAGCTCACTCTAGCTACGGCAGCTGCTGGGTCGCACTACCGATTCGAGAACGGTCGGGGTATAGACCTCTTCCACGCTGCTAAAGCCATTTTGTTGGAACGTCTTCGCCGACGAGACAGCAGACAGGTACCACAGCCATCATGGAACTATATCTCTCCGCCTTCTAATTTTCCAAACTCGCGTGGATCTTCGATTATCTCCAACACCGCGAGTAGTCCATTCCAAACCCACCATATGCCGAACCCTCCTGTAAATGCATCGATCTATACCCCGGACGACTCAGATGCTCACATGGAAGTGATCCGGACATTCTTACTCCTCACTGTGTTTGCTTCCTGGGAGAGGCAACCGGAGCTGTTGCGAGAGATCCTCTCACTTCAAAGCACACTAGCAAGGCTGGTTCGGGAGCATGGCCTGTCTGAGCCACCCCCCACGCCTGAACCTATTAGCTGGGAAGAGTGGGTTCGAAGGGAGGGAAATAGACGGACGAAACTGATCGTTTACTGCTTTTTCAATCTCCATTCGATCATGTACAACATACCTCCCATGATCCTCAACGGAGAGTTGAAGCTCAATATGCCCTGCTCGCATGACCTGTGGAAGGCCTCAAATTCAGCACAGTGGCGACGACTTCACCGTACCCGACAAGGGTTAGATGTCTCTTTCCCGGATGCATTCGCCCGCCTCTTCCTCAAATCATCTACATCCTTCCCTTCCGCCCCTATATCCCCCCCTGGGCAACTACATCCTCATCCACGCTGTCATCCAGCAGATATTCTTTGCCCGACAGCTATGCCTGTCAGCTCCAACTATGAGTGGTACTAGCCTAAGACAGGATGATCTCAACGTGCTGGATAACTCTCTGAGTGCTTGGAAAGCATTGTGGAAACGCACGCCTGAATCCAGCATCGACCCTCAGAACCCTGCTGGTCCCATCGCTTTTACCTCTACTGCCCTCTTGGGCCTGGCATATATCCGACTACATGTTGATCTGGGCCCTTGTCGTCACCTCATTACCCAAGACCCTGCACAGATCGCAGGTGCCCTTATCGAGTCACCGCCGATCGTCCGAAGCCCAAGGTTAATCATGGCATTGCTGCACTCAGCCCATGCCCTCTCTATTCCCGTCCGACTGGGAATTGATTTCGTGGCAAGGACACACTCATTCTTCTGGAGTATCCAACACTCCCTATGCAGTCTGGAATGCGCATTCCTGCTCAGTCGCTGGCTGCTAGCCATTCCCGCGACACAGCCAGAGCAGCGGTTATCTGAGCATGAGCGAAAACTTCTGTCGTGGATCAAGAGCATGATGGATGAAACCGACATGGCTGTCGATCCACCAGGAGCCCCAGACCTTGAGTTCATGGCGAACCCATTCAAGGTTCGTCAGCTCAGTGTTGCCATTGTCCGTGTCTGGGCCCGAACATTCAAGGGCAACACTAGTTGGGCCATTGTTGACTTGGTTGGGTCAAGTTTGGATGCTTATGCGGATCTTTTAGAACACTAAGTATACCTCTTTCAAAATTGCTGGTTTTGGAGTACTTTTGCGCCGCGAATATCCGATTAGCATCTTTGCGGAAAATGTTACTCTTGACTAATGTGGCATCTTTAATGACCTTGTGACTTCTTTCTTTTATTTCTTGGTTGGATATGATATCTCACGGAGTTCTTTTTGTAAATGCAAGCTTGGAAGGCTTGGGACGCGTTGGTTTGGATAGGTTGGATGGACGAACTTTTCATGCTTGATCTGTATATAAGTATATGCCCAGGGAGTGGATCTTCAGACGGGATCTTTATTCTGGACTCGGACTGTTGCCTCTTTCTTAATGATACCTTCAATGGCGATGATTTGAAAATTCAACAGCTACATCTATGGATACCTGCAAGGGGGAAGTATGAATTTTGTCTAATAAAAGCTCGATTAGATAACATGGTTGATGAATATTGTTTTAAGATTGCTTCGGTCGTTATATCATAAGCCACTTGCCTCAAGAATGCTTTTGGGGCGCCTTCGGTCGATTTCTCATCACGCTCGCAGGCACAAACCGGAGTGCTGACATGGATCGTTCTAACTCATCAATCTCCATGTCATTAGTCTCCTCTTGAGGAATGGTAGCAGGTGGATTAGCCTGTGATACTGAGCTGCGACGTCGAAGCCTCCCTTCCTGGGCAGATGAAACGGATGCAGTGGAAAGGCGCCTCCGGTTGCTATTCAGAGGCCGTAGCAGAGATGTCTGCTTATCGATTCCATCATTGATGATGTAGAAATTGTAGGTCTGTGTTTTGTTTGATCTTCGGTTAGTTCGAGATACGACCATCTTTCAGACGCAGTCTGACATACCCTGGGAAACATATGCTTGTCTATCAGATGAAGTCGTCGCTTTTGAGGGGTAGAGCATTTTCGCTCACAATCCTCGATGAAGCAGCCATACTAATCCGGAACAAGATTTGTCATTAGTATACTTTACACCATATTCATCATCTCAATAGCTTTTCTGGTATTGCACACTCACGGTCTTCTCCCCCCGCGCTCTTCGGGCTGCCGCGAGGGCATCATGGTTCTCTTCGATATGAAGATTCAAAAAATGACCGGTTGGAAAATTTCTACTGCATTCTGCGCAGCGATTGACATGTGCCTGTCTATAATGCACTTCGTAGTCTTCATGTGAAGCGAAAGACAAGGTCTCGCGATGAGGTGGTAACGCACAATGCATCGCCTCGATGATGGGGGCCGATTCACCATGAATAATTTTGCTGCGCTCCATTGGAGTAACGACGCCCGAAGTTGAGGACCTTGAGTGTGTGGAGGGGGAAGGTGTCCGTGACTCGGAACGACTTCGAGAGCGTTTGGACATAATTGCGGTGTCGGGCCTGTTGCGATGTAATGCTTCCTTCAGGCACGGTAGATATGTGATCGATCCACTTGGCGGGGCTCAGTGCAGCAGAGCGCGGCGAGGGCGCTATGGAGGACCCATTCAGTGTCCAAGCGTAGAAATTAGGAAGAAAAGACAAAGACAAAGAATGAAGTCAGAAATGGGGTGATTCATGCAGAGATCACACTCCTTCACTATCAATAACACACTGATGTGTGAAGTGAAATGAAGTGAAGTGAAATGAAGTGAAGTGAAGGAGGAAGGTATTGTGGAAGCCGCCCGCCAATCAGCGTCGGCCCCAGGGGCAATTCCGCCGAAGTACTCCATCGCGCTTTTTCCTTTCAATGACATTCCTCCATCTCTGCTTCAACTCGACTTTACCCGACCCGATGGCTGGTCCACTCCTGAATTCATCTGTTGTCGCTGTAGCCATCTGACCAACGCGGTCTACGGTGGGTTTACACCGGGAAAATGGCGTCCTTCCAGGATGCGTGGCAGTCAGTTCTACCTTACACCTTTTCCCCCCTCCTTCCTCTTCCAATCCTCCGGAAGTCGGAGGTGGTCGATGTGGACTGTGAACTGAATCTCATCGATCGCATATAGGACCGCGCTCAGTGCTGAAACCGAACTGATGCGATGCCTCACCCAAAAAGAGCCCACCTTCGCTGAAATCTCACACTTTCTATCCGAGTCAGTCAACGCCGCACACTTCCTAGCACTCACGGCCAGACCCGTCTAACGCCAGTACTCTCTCTACAGGTTTCGCACCATATGCCAGAATACTATTCTGCTTGACTTTGATACTGCCCGCGACACCGATGTCGAGAGTCGCTTGTGGGAAGCGCATCTGAAAGTGAACAATCGGTTTCGCAAGTTGCTTTCTCGCGTGAGTGTCGGCGGATGGGGGATGGGATAACACATCGCGCCTATGAACTGACTGGTCCGATTGACATAGTATCGCGAGGAGAACGTAAAGAAAAAGCCGGTAGAGAGACGGAAGCTCGAGAAGCACTACCTGGACTTCATTAAGTCTAGTCAACGATTCTACCGCGGCTACATCCAACACCTCTCATCGCATTTCGGCGGCATCGTCGAACTGGAGAAAGTGGCGCGCAAGTTCAACTTTGAGAGTATGAATCACCCACTCCCCATTCTCGTGCGCCCCACGGATAACACAAGGACTGACTCGGAATCTCCTCTAGACTTGTCCGCACAACCTCCCGTTCCCGTAACCCCCGACCTGCACAAGCGTATCCTCCAATCTTGCCATGCGACCCTCATACGCCTCGGCGATCTTTCCCGCTACCGGGAAACCGAGCTCGTCAATAAGGACCGCAATTGGGGGCCCGCAACTGGATACTATGATCTAGCCTCCGTGGTATACCCCGTCTCTGGTGCGTCGCATAACCAGTTGGCCGTGATCGCCCTTGCCGATGGCAACCATTTTCGAGCGACCTATCATCTCTACCGGGCACTTTCAACCCAAACCCCGCACCCTGCCAAGGGTAACCTTGAAATCGAATTTAAAAAGATTATGAATTTATGGATCAAGAAGGAGCTGATTCGTCCCGAGGACGCCGGAATCCCAGGCAGAGCTCTCGCTCCCTGGTTTGTCTATCTTCATGCAAAGTGCTACAAGGGAGATGATTTTCCGGAGCATGATGAGCTGGAGAGCGAGGTGATGAGCCAGCTCGCAGTCGAAATCCGAGAACGGTCTCTTGAAGGGACACTCCAGAAATTCTGCCTTATCAATATCGCCGCAGAAGACTTTGCCAGAGCTCGATCACATGAAGAATCGGTATCAAGCGCGCCTCTGTTTTTTCAGCGAATCAATGTGAAGACTTTCTTCACCTTGTTACAAATTCTTCTCGTTGAACTCGAGCGATTTGCGGCTGAAGATTCGAGTACTAGCAGCAAAGATATTGCTAGAAACGGTCCTGACAAGATTACCGTGGTTGCGCGCCGAATTCTTCCAGCTTTGAGACACTATAGCTCTTGGCTCCTTATCACTAATGAATTCCTCGTTGCACAGAAGGACGAAAAAGATTCGGCACTGTCAATCCAAATTCAGGAATTTTGGAAGATATACGCAGAGACCTTAACTCTTCTTGCGTCTACTTTTGATGTCGCGCGGCTCCCGGAAATCGACTATCTTCTCGAAGATGATGAAGAGAGTCTTGGGTTTGTGCCTCTTGATCAAGCAGCCACCTCCCGCCGGTATATCGGCACGAACGGTCAGCTCAAACCTCGAACGAACGATCCAGGCGTCGAAAGAAGCCATCCGAACACGGAGATGCTCTACAGAATCCGCGAGTTTGTCATAGATGGCCTTGATCTAGTCGTGGGAAACAAAATTCCAATTGCATTGATTGACGATGAGGACAAGAAGACATTCCTCTACCGAGAAGACGGGCTGCCAGCCCAGTTTTTCTCAAGCCCTCATGGCCATCAGCAGGCTCTCTCGACCCCGATAATCGAAAGAGGAGATATTCCTCCCATGGCTCCAGATTCGAATTCTGTCGCTGAAGGCCGCAGCATGTTTGGCGGATCCCAATCCGCTTCAGCATCCATGTCGGCCAACATGCATCGTATCGCGGAGGATGTCGAGCGATTAGTCGAGTCTGATACTTATGAAAATGCGCCCGATATCTCAGGCCAGTACAACTTCTTAAATGAGCCACAAGATATGCCCACGCCTTCGGCTCCAAGGGTATCCAACATGAGTGCATTCGCCTTCGAACAGCCTACGCCACAACTCAGAACGCCTATTCCACCGCCTGGGCTTGGCCCTCCCAATCCCGGCGCAGCGGAGTCCCTTCGCGCATCAATTTCTCAGTCCTATTCACCACTTCCAGCTGTACCTGGAATGCCAAGCATCTGGAACACATCGTCACCTACGCCACTGAGAGAGGGTACGTCTCCCCGCACGCCTCCCGGTCTGGGCCCACAGCCCCAAATGCATCCCATGGCACCTCCGAATGCCATCATGTCCGATCGATCGCCATCTCAAGACCAGATCGGAAATGATCTTCTCCGACAAAGCATGATGGCGCAAAGTCAATCCTCTGGCTTCTTTGATCCAGCTGGATCGGTACCTTCTTCGTGGATTCCCCCAACCAACATGTCGACGACCCTGCCCCAATCTGCTCCAGGCAACTGGGACGGCAATAACCTGAGCCGAAGGAGCTATTCTTCGTTCCCCAGCCAACCTATCTCGGGTGGTTTGCCAAATCAAACATGGGCCAATGAAGCTTTCATTGGCAGCGGTCTCCCAGCAAGCGGCGGACCTTTCAGCTCAGGTTTCGGCGACCACCGCAAATCCGCTGCTCAACTTGGGGCCGTTGGGCAAACTCCCCCTTGTGGGCAGGGAGGCTGATCGAGAAGGTTATATATGCTTCTATGCAAAGTTAACACAAAGCATCTACAGGCCAAGCAACCTCGAACCAGCCATCTGTACGAGAAACATCAACACCTTTACAGCACGCAGCTAGACCTTCCCTCCCATGATGGCCTATGTACGCCGTTTTCTCCCAGCTCATAAAGTGCGCATGGGAAACAATACATGAGCTAGCTACTCCTTTTTGCATTCCGAGCATGAGAGTTGGCTCTGGTCGTTGTTAATGGCTCTCTGGATAATCACTCTATCCCAGTAACACATACACCCCAATGATTATGACGCTCTATTATTTCTCCGAAGGGGAATGACCCAGGGCATCTGATTCCTCTCGACTCCTCTGTGGCAGCCATGAGTGTGCCTTGTACCTCCTCACTTTATTCTCTTTTTTTTTACTGAGAAGGACAACGCCTCTGGGCTGGCTGCGCGTTCAACACGCAACATAGTGGGCAGTCGAGACCTGGAAGGTACCCGTTCCCCACTGTTGTGCTGCAGGACACTTTTAGTACCATCAATTCACTTTTGGCCTTTTTTCTTTTTTTCCCTTTATGCGAAGAAACTTGTCATTTCTTAAGCAATCCCTTTTTTTACCTTCTTTGATAGCCCTTGTTTGTTTGACCTTTGACTTCGTTGGATAGAATGGACGGATGAATGGCATGAGGCAGCTATGAGGTGGGCCGTATCCAATGAACATCGTAAAGTTTCTTTCCATCTGAAGCTTCTTTGGACTAAATATTCAAACGTATACTACACTATAAACACTACTTCAATAATACCCGTAAACCATTGATTAAATAAATTGTGACATTCATTTATCTTGAATTATTCGTTATTTCGTTGTTGAAAACGGGGTCCATCCAGAACCCGTTCGTTCGGCTACCAGATTTCCCATCCCAATATTATCATGGTGCTTAATCACGTTTAGTGTTTCGTAAAGGAACAACTGATGAATAGGAATAGGAGAGTGGGCAGGATGCCAAAAGGACAGAGCCTTAATCTTTTGACGTTAAGTCATTTTCTCAATGTATAGGAACAGAAAAGGAAATTTGGGTATAGAGGGTTGAATCATCCAGGGTTGAAAGACGCATGTTCAGTCCAATTGGCTGGAGCTGAGCTGCGCCGAGATCTTCCTCGCTAGGTCGATCTATGTGTTGAAAATCTTCATTCAAAATCTATTCTTTTAATGTTGGGAGAATCGTCCCCGCTTAAGAGCGGGAGTAAGTTTGCTTGGGGGAGGGGAAGCTACGTATCAATGTTAGAATCAAGCAATTTCAGATCGGGAGATCAAGTGGGAAGACTCACGAAGGTCCAAGCTCCTGGATGCTCTTGCTGGCCAGCCACTGACCCATGTCAATGCTGTCCTCAAGAGACTTGCCAGAGACAACACCAGCGCAGAAACCACCGGCGAAAGCATCACTGTTAATTCCATTGTTAGTAAAGGACAAATGAGTTTAAGATCAGGGCGGAGCTTACCCGGCACCGTTGGTGTCGTTGATGGCGTCCTTGGAGATCTCGTGGACGTTGAACTGCTTGACCTCAACGCTGCCGTTGGAGGCAATACCGACGACGGTGGGCTCAGTGCCCTGGGTGACGATGGCAACACGGGGACGCTGGGTGTTCTTCTTGGGAAGGAGGGCGAGCTTCTTGGCGATCTCGACAACGTCCTCGGTACCCCACTCGTGGCTGGCAGCGTAGGCGCGAGCCTCGGTCTCGTTACAGAAGGTGTAGTCGGTGTAAGGCAGGACGGTGTCCAGCTGCTCCTTGAAGAACTGGGGAATGAAGGGAGCAGAGAGGGAGAGCATGAAGACCTAGAGTGTCTATGTGTGAATAATCACTCGCATCAGACAGCTATTGGGTGTACATACCTTGTTCTTGGCGGCAGCCTCCTCACCGAGAGCCTCGATGGCAGGGACACAGACAGTCAGGTGGTAGCCACCGATGTAGTAGAACTGAGCCTTCTCGACGAGAGACCAGACGTGGGGCGACTTCAGGTGCTCAATCTTGTACTCATTGGCGGCAGCGAGGTCAGTGCACATGCTGCGGTCGTGGCCAGTGATGATAACACCACACTTGCCGGTAGGCGTGGTCTCATCGACGCGGTACTCGGTGTGGACACCGGCCTCCTCGCAGGTCTTCTTGAGGATGTCACCATACTTGTCCTTACCAATGCAGCCAATGTACATGACGGAGTTGTCGGGGAGCATGTACTTGATTGTTTGTCAGTCTCTATTGGTCAAGATATTCAATCAAAGGAACACCGATAGCTCCATACCTGGGCACCACGGGCAGTGTTCTGGGCGGCACCACCGGGGATCAGCTTAGCGTCCCGGGCGAGGAGGTCCTCATAGATGCCCATGTGCTGCTTCTCAGCGAGAATAGCATCGTTGGGCTTCAGGCCATACTTCTCGAGAAGAGCGGCATCACTAGACGAAACGTATCAGCAATCGACATCAATAAGACCCCGCCTGATAGAAAAGTCCCATCATACCCACGAGCCTGGATGTCTGGGGAAAGTCAGCAATCTATACACCTCTACCTAAAAGGTGAATGTATCACATACCGAGGAGAGGGTTCTCCAGAGCGAGCAGAGGGTATCCTTGGGGAGCAGCCATTTTGAAGAAATCGAAGATCAAAGTGAATTGAGGGGAAGGGGAAGGGGAAGAAGATGAGGGCTCACCTTGGGAAGTGGGCTGGAGGGGCCATCTTTCTGCCGGGCGGAAGGCCTGCAAGGTCGCGCCCAGACCAGTTAGTATGTGGACGACTCCAGCAACCTCCCCAAACATCCAGATCCAATCCCCGATATCCCATTGACCCACCAACATGTCCAACCCTGCACTGGAGATTTCGGAGACCATTCAGGCGGCGCATATCCGCTCGAATCCTTCTCCGACTCACGATATCAACCCCTCTACCGCGGCCTCGGAGAAACACCCCGTTGTCGTTGGCCCGGCTTCCGACGCTGGCAGCCTCCCATCGGACTTTGTTGACCCCAGCCGGGTCATTCGTCCTGTCCGCCGCCGTCACACGCTTCCTCCCCTACCGGATCTTCGTTTTGAGCAGAGCTACCTTGCCAGTATCAAGGACGCCGATACCTGGGGCCGCGTGGCGTGGATCACTGTCCGAGACCAGGTAAGATATAATGCGGAGAAATTAGGAAACCCGAGAAACGAGAGAAAGAAAGGATCAACAATCCTGAAGAATATATCGGGCTAATAGTATTTTCCTCTTTGCAGGTTCTCCTCCCTCTCATCCAAGGCACCGTCTGGACTCTCGCGCTCTCGGGGTGGCGCTTCTGGAACCGCACCGCCTCGCTCAGCGGCCAAACTGTCGGCAGCCGAATCCGCAGGTGGTGGTATGATGTCAACAACTGGAAGCTGCCTCCTATGAAATGGTCCAAGGATCCTAAGCTGGCTGAGCAAGCTGGAGATGTAAGCAGATCCCTTTCCCTGCCCCCAGGGTTGCAGTCCATTTTGACAGGACATATAGAACTAACGGCGCCGGAGTTCTTGCAGTTTTACGAGGCTCAATTTTCCAACACAGGGTCCAATTGATAGGCCTTGACTTTGACTTGGCAGCATGGCAAGGGCCTTGACGGACCATAACCTGCTTCCCTCCGCTAGCATCATAAAGGCGTTTGGTATTTTCTTGATTTATGGCTTAACGGGTGAAGCCTCTGTTCGATATCCCATTCCTAGACTAGGTCTTTTTTCTTCATCTTTGATCAATTGCGTGTATTACTCTTTACATTCGAAAATCAATTGTACATATACACCTGCACTGCCGCTTTTCTGTAGCAATAGCATTACAAAGCCATGGTATCAATCAAAAATCGAAAATTCGGTATCATTTTCAATTGGAATCTTTCCAACGTCTATTCACAACCCAAAGTCGCAGCTAGAGAGCAACTATCAATACTATTCCAAGCAAACTCCGATTCCAGGCTGGAATCATCTGGTAAAGGTCTCCTTCGCGTGCATGCAAAGGATATGCACTTGGAGAGTCGAATTTCAGCCTTGGTCGGTTATGTTTGGGGCAAAGCAGCTTCAGATTGGCCTCCAGGACCAAAGTTAGGACGAATTGAGCCATTCGACTCGGCTATAATACTGATGTTCTTGGGTTGGTCGGCCGGTGCAGGAGCCGGGGGCCCGGTCGATACCGGTGTAGCGGATGCTGCCAAAGGTGCCTGTTGAGGTGCAGGAGGAACGGATGAAGGCGCCTCGGTTGACTGCACTGGCTGCGCTGGCCCCGACGGGTTCAACATGGACTCTGGGGCGTAGTTCAGGCGGGGTTGTGGTAGAGAATCAGATGAAACTGTCCGTATCTCGACTTTAATCATTTCATTCTGAGGAGAGCGTTGGCCAGGAGGAGGCTCATCGACTGGAACAGGGCTAGACGGCACTTTGCCTTTGCCATACCGAAGCTGGACAACAAGACTATGCGGCTCTCCGTTCACAACTGATTCATCGCCACTTGCAGCTTCTCCTTCATCGTCTCCCTCCATGATGTTTTGATCATCATCGCCGTCCTTCCAATCATTTCCGCTCTCATTTCCATTCGATGCGCCATCTGATTCGTCTTCTATGTCGCCAGCCGCATAACCGGAATAGCCATTAGGATGAGTAGAAGTACGAGCTCGCTGCGGTCTCGTTTCGTCTTCAGCCTCATCTTCGGAATCTTCGCGCTGGCCGGTCAGCAAAGCCTCTCCATAAAGCCCTCCGGCACGGGACCGGATCTGCCGGCCACTGGCGGTAAAACGAGGTCGAGATGTTTCAGCCGGCGTCACGGTAGTAGAAGTATTACGAGCAGATCTTCTAGAGGGGCCTTCGTCTGAGAGAAAATCTTCGTCGTCGGAGTATGTATACTTTGTCTTTTTCCCGCGAGTTCGACCCTCGTACAAAGAGAATCCGGGCTCCGGGCGGGCGAATGCAGCTTTGCGTGCAAGACGGTAGTCGCGACGCTTGCGTTTCTAAGAGAAATTGTCAATCCAGCCCTATCTTCTGTTTTAGGTAATCAACCTACCTCTTCTGAAGCCTCGAAGCGGGGAATCGCAGTTCGGATCCTCTCGCTGAGCTTCTTAGAATTTGTGCCCTTCTCTTCTTGCAGTCTATCGGCTATAACTTGCAACTCTGGAATATCTCCAGCAACACTCCACCAACTGACATGTTTAAGAGCTGGGTTACTTTCCCTATATAGACGAAAGTGGGTATCGTCCATGCCTTCAATCAGCCAGTATCGGCGTTTCAAGCTATCGCGGCCCCATGGTTGAACAGACAAAGGCTGGTTGAGGTCGTCATCATGGCGGGCTTGCTTGTAGGATTCCTTCAGTTTGGCTTGAATCGCATCAGATGACGAGAGTGACCAAAGAGCCAAGGATCTCAAAAGTTCGATCTAGGAGAGCATCGTATTAGAATCAAAATTCAAGTTTTGCCAATGATGTGGCAACATACACGTTCTTCCGGCGTCATTGTCGCAAAGCTGCGACCCCCCGAGAGGGGACTCTTGCCCGCCCATAGCTTGGGCCACTGTGACTGGTGTGTTTGAATCGCCTCCTCCAGCGGCCGTGTATAGTGGTTTCGCCTGCATCAGCGAGAGATCGGATTAGCGATTGCTGTTGCCATTAATTGGCAGGCGACGATTTAAAGCGCATGTCTTGGAGGGTGCCGCGCGGGATTGGGCATTGGGTGGCGACCATACTCAACATCCTTCTTGCGGTTCAAAACAAGACCAAGCAATGCGCAAAGCAGTCGCTCAATATAGTCTCCGGGTGGGCTGTCTACAGCCCCTCGTTCGATATCTTGTGGGCCGTAATGTGGCAGTGACTTGGGGAAGGCTTCATCGAACCGCGCGCGGAACATCACGATGAACTAAATATTGCGACAGTTTAGCAAACGTGTTATCGAGTGAGGTGAACGCGTCATGGACGTGTCTATTGACGCGAAATAGGGAATCAATTGTTCAGCCAAGTGGAAACTCACAGGAATATTTGGGTTGTCCGCAATAACGTATTCATGCGGTGGTGACGGCTCTCGTTTGGGTGGCGGAGTCGACGACTCCTTCTTGAAGTACTTCGCGATGCCTGTAGGCTTGTCAACCTCCATGGCTGTTTCGTCGTCTGTCGGCGGGGCCGACGATAATGATGAAGAGTCTGAGTCTGAGGGGGCCATGTTGGGAAGGGGTGGTTGTGAAGGTCAAAGGTTAAAGTTGGGGAAGCCGCGTAGAAAGAGGAAGAGGAAGGCGCGATGGTCACGTCGGAAATGGCTCCTGCGCCCGCACGTTGACCATATATCATTCTCATTTGACCCTGCTGCTTCATTCCTCACGCGATGTGGTTTTAGATTTAAAGTGATTTATCCTTCTCTGAAAGCTATGACCAGAATTATAAGGAACTCAGCTACATAAAGAGCATCAAACGCAATAATTATAGATATCAAGCTGCTATACATCCTCGGCTTACAGACTCTACAAGCGGCAAAGTGAAGAGACAGGCCGTGTCAATGAATGAACTGAACTCTATAATAAAATTTAAGAGTAAGTATACCATATAAATACTAGAAGAGAAATATAGTATATCCTGTTGTCCCGGTACCTGTTGGACTCTTTCTCAATCTCTTTGTGGTAAGTAGTACATTGATACAACCTAAGCCAAGCAAGCCAGCACGGTCACTGCGTCAGGGCTACGGTGGAGGTCACGTGTTGTTATGTCAGCTACAACCCCAGCTACTCTAGGTGATGCCCTGAACACAATTATCAGCTTGAGGCCTGGAAAGAAATTTAGTTCATTAAAAAAAAAAATCTGTTACTTTCACGTAACTCCTGTATCTATCGCAATTCTATAATCCGCCCATTTCAAACAGGTCTCTGGAATGAGAATGGAATTCCATCATCCGGCTCGCTAACCTAGTCAAATCGGGTTTAGCTTGTGCTGCTTACCTCAGCGCACCCAATCCCAATTTCCCACAATGGGGCATTCTCCATTGATTCGATTTCTCATCCTCCCACGACAAGCCTATCTTCAATTCGAGGTACGACCTTTCCCTACCACGACTCCGTCAATATCGGAATTCGACTGTCAACTTCCAGATACTAACCTCTCACACAGACAGTCGCCATGGGTCGCGTTATCCGCAACCAGAGGAAGGGCCGTGGCTCCATTTTCAGTGAGTTCGACCGCAACAACCTATCCAGCCCACCCAATCCATTCGCGCACAGTTTTTCGTTCGGCTTTGCACACAGGACAGCCAGGAGAAATAGAAACGCCAGGACACCCCGCAAGAAACAGGAATTGGAATACTGATCTTGAATTTTTCTTCACCTGCAGCGGCCAACACCCGCCTGAACAAAACCCCCGCCCAGTTCCGCACTCTCGACTTCGCTGAGCGTCACGGATACACCCGTGGTGTTGTCAAGGAGATCATTCACGATGCCGGTCGTGGTGCTCCCCTCGCCAAGGTCCAGTTCCGTCACCCCTACAAGTTCAAGATGGTGACCGAGACCTTCATCGCCAACGAGGGCATGTACACCGGCCAGTTCATCTACGCCGGTAAGAACGCCCAGCTCACCGTCGGAAACGTCCTTCCCCTCGGCTCCATGCCCGAGGGTACCGTCGTCTCCAACGTCGAGGAGAAGTCCGGTGACCGTGGTTCGCTCGGCCGTACCTCCGGTAACTACGTTACCGTTATTGGCCACAACCCCGAGGAAGGCAAGACCCGTGTCAAGCTGCCCTCCGGTGCCAAGAAGGTCATCAAGAACACCGCCCGTGGTATGGTTGGTATCGTCGCCGGTGGTGGCCGTACCGACAAGCCCCTGCTCAAGGCTTCTCGCGCCAAGCACAAGTTCGCTGTCAAGCGCAACTCTTGGCCCAAGACTCGTGGTGTTGCCATGAACCCCGTCGATCACGTAAGTTGCGCTCCATTAACCCGGCTCGCTATTCACTGCAGTGTCTCTAACCAGTCTTCTCCCTACAGCCTCACGGTGGTGGTAACCACCAGCATATCGGTAAGGCCTCGACCATCTCCCGCTACGCCACCCAGGGTCAAAAGGCCGGTCTCATTGCCGCCCGCAGAACCGGTCTGCTCCGCGGTACCCAGAAGACCAAGGATTAAGCGTGATATTACGTGGAGTTTTCTTTGTGACGGGTTGAAAATGGACTTCTGCTATGAGACACATGTACTTAGGCGAGGGCGGATAAGCGTCCCATGCGCCCTTAGCGAATTAAGGTTGTGGCCACCATCTTTTTCATTTATCAAATTCAAAAGGGTGATGGAATGGGGTCCGAAGCTGGCCTCGTGTCAAGGCAGAACGGAAAAGTCAAAAAGCCCCTTTGGGGGACTGGAAATGATACACCTTTGAAATTCATCTGTCCTTGGTCACCCTGTAAATCTACGTAGTAGTCCATGTGCATCATTATTTATTAGGACGATGGTGGTTCGACATACAGGGCGTATAGTTCGAGGTTGCTCAATGTCAAGGTCTTGGGTACCTTCTTGGAAGCTGTAGGTAGTAAGTAGCATTCGAAGTACTACGTGAGGCTTTTCCATTGGCACCACAGGGCTAGCACTGGCATGATCAATGCACGACTGGTGACGGTCAACTGGCGACCCTCGGGCATATGATGTTTTGAGATCTACCTGGGCAGATAATTGCTGGGGCACTGCTTTGGGAATTTCAAGTTCTCTTTACTTTTTTACTAGTGTTTCCCACTTCACTCCAGGGCTGTGTTACTATCGACTAGTAGGTAGTAGTATCTTCAAGCTCCAAAACTGCCCCATGAATTCCAAGGTTGCCTTGCGGATTCAAGTGATGAGCGTCGATAGTAACTTGAACATGAATATATATATAGAGTCTGCTGCCTCCAGGGCTAAATACGAGTACCACCAACTTGAATACAATTAAACTTCTTGGAATCAAAAACAATTGAAATAAAAGCCACACCGTTCAATAAAGCCCAAGGAGTCGAATCAACCATCGAAAATAAATGGAATTGTAAAAGTTGGTTGGGCGTGGGCCGCTGATTGGCCAGTTTGAGATCAAGGCAGACCAAGCTTTGGTTCGCCCGCTGGTATTTCATTCTTTAATCTGCCAGTGCCCAGCTCAATATGGTGTCCTAGACAACTATCTCCGAGGTACGGACGGAAAGCATCAAATCCTCAGATATGAATTCCACGCATACCTCCCGACAGAAGATTCCCCGCCTCAGCCGATCGAACGATGTGCTCACCTCCGCACAACGGTGGCAAGCCGTAGTCAAGCGTGACGCAACAGTCGACAGTTTCGTCTACGCTGTTCTAACCACCAAGATCTACTGTCGCCCTTCGTGTTCCGCCCGGCTGGCCCGGCGGGCGAACGTGGAATTCCACGACACCCCATCGCAGGCTGAGAACGCAGGGTTTCGACCCTGTAAGCGCTGCCGGCCACAATCGGGACAAACGGCGGCTCAAAGTAATCCACAAACCGCCATAGTCTACAAGGCATGCGAGCAGATACGCGACGAGCTAGCAGCAGGGCTGAAACCGCGGCTTCAAGATTTGGCGGCGCAGGCTGGCCTGACGTCGTGTCATTTCCATCGTGTCTTTAAAAAACATACGGGCGTGACGCCTGGGACGTATGCTAGTGGTCTTCTTGTAAGCACCACCACGCGGCCTCTATCTTCGCCGGATGTCTCGACGCCTGATACACCGTCTAAATTTGAAACATCGCATGACTGGTCGGGGATGGAGGAGAGGGGGGGAGGGGAAACTGGATTTAGACATGGAGGATTTTTTGGTGCCGCCCATGGCTGGTCTGTTGGCGGTTGGGTCTCCTGTGAGCATGGATCCTAGCTGGGGGGAGTGGAATGAGTTTGATCTCTTGTTGGCTGCTGAGCAGGAGCAGATGTCACCGCGGGACGCTTTGTCGATAGACCCCCGCATGCTCTCGACGTGACATTGATGGAGGAGTCCCGGAAATGTATATTGCTCTACGGAGTAATGGAGTACGGATACGCAGGATGGAGGTATGAACATCAGTGCATCGTTTACCGTGTTTAATTCGGTTGGACCCCTCATCCGGCCAATCACTTTGTTTGTACATGACTTTATGCTGGATGGAAATGAACAATCAATATAATGTGGAGTCACTCTGGAAGTACTTTGTATGTAGCCCACCAGTCTGAACCTTTGGTAGGCAACACAGATATGTACACGCCAAGGGGTAACCCGGAAGAGCAAAGTGCTGATTGCACCAAAGTCAATGGATTAGATCGACGTGGCTTTGGCATCGCCACCACAAAGTGTACCCGGCAAGGAGGAGAACTGAAACAATGAAACACCCGAGGTAACCAAGGAAAAGGGTAAGGAGGAGGCTCCGTGCACGCCGGGTGCGTACGACAATCGTTGGGGGGGGGGGGGGGGGTGTTTTGGTGAATGCGATGGGCCGGCTTCTCCATTGGTAGTGGACTGCAGATCGTCTCTGCACGGGACAGTATGTACATATCAGTACCTACACATAGGTACCCACGAAGCCAGCTGGACCCTGTTCCTCTGTGGCGAGACTCAATCCCAACCAGGAAGAGACATGATAAATATAGTATGGATGATCCGGGCAGGTTTCCTGGTCTTCCAATTGGAATGGTGTCGCTCCACTGTCGCCCCACCAACGCGTGTCACAGCTTTAGCCGCTGTCGAGGCCTGGACTTTTAAAACAATGTGTTCGTGTCTCAGGATGAAAGACACTAGGCATAGTAACCATAATGGGGAAAGAAGACACGAGAGCACAAAGGGGATGGGCGAAATAAAGAGCAGAAAAAGCTAACGAGCAAGACCAGATATGGTAACCTCGTTAGATTATCGTATCATCAGCATAGGCCAGAACCGATGGCATTCCCCACCGATCGACACCGTCTATTGTACATCTGCATGCAGTGAAACACACTGGGGGATTCCAGAAACCTTTGGTGGCGCTAATCATTTTCAATGGGGGGTGGTTGGCCTTGGGCTTTAATTTTATTAATTTTGGAGTGTTTGGCCAATTTCATCGAGGGGCCTCCTTCCTTTCCAATCTTCTTCTTCTCCTTCTCCACTCCCCTTTTTCCCTTAGATCGCTTTGCTATTCTTCTCTCGCTGCTTGCTCGACTTCCTTCCTCTTCTCACATTCTCTCTAAATTACGAGGACAGCACCCCATCCGGCTTCACTCTCTTCATCCTCTTAACCCAACTCGCCTTTCATCCCAACCCCCTCCCAACCCCCTTCTCGATTTGTGATCCAAACCCACTATGCACGTCAACAAGAGAATCGGCCGACTCAAGCAATGGGCAGGCGAGCGCATGGGCGGAGAAGTCAAGACGAATGTCACCGATAACTTCAAGGCCATGGAGACGGAGATGGGCGTGCGACATGAAGGTAAGGGGAGACGAACACCCATTCTCAGAAACGACACTAATATTTTGCCATAGGCGTTGATCGCATTCACAAGTCCATGACCTCATACGTCAAAGCCATTTCGAAGCGCAACGAAGGAGATGATAAGGAGAAAACCCTCCCCGTGGCTCACTTGGGCACCAGCATGGTCAGCCATGGAGAGGATTTTGACGGGAACTCTGAATATGGCCAGTGTCTGACCAGTATGTCGCAGTATCAGCTCCTCCCGAAACCACAATAAAGGTAGCTAACACATGTGCTAGTGTTTGGGAGAACTGAGGAGCGTATCGCTCGCATTCAAGAGAACTACATTGGACAGGCGACCTCAAGCTGGCTTGAATCCCTCGAAAGATCTCTGACCCAGATGAAAGACTACCAGCAGGCTCGGAAGAAGCTCGATAGCCGCCGGTTGGCTTATGATACATCTCTTTCCAAGATGGAGAAGGCAAAGAGGGAGGACTTCCGAGTTGAAGAAGAGCTGCGCTCTCAAAAAGTGAAGTACGAGGAAGCCAGTGACGACGTGATCCGCAGGATGCAGGACATCAAAGAGGCGGAAGTCGATAATGTCATGGACATGGGGGCATTTCTGGATGCCCAGCTTGAATACCATGAGCGGTGCCGTGAAGCACTTGTTCAACTAAAGAACGAGTGGCCTGGAGGGTGAGTACCTTGGATTGAATTACCTTCGAGTTGGGCCTTGCTAACACTGAAAAAGTTCTGGCCGGGGACCATCGCCAGCTCGTCGCACTACACGAGCTCGTTCCAACACTGCCCATTCATACCAGGAACGATATGACCCTGTGCAGGAGGAACTGGCAAGTGCCGTGGAGACTCGTCCTACTATCCGATCCAGTAAAACGATTATGACGGAGATGCCTGCAAGGGAGCTTCATCCCAACAATGGATTCCCCCGGCCAGTCCTCAGCCGAACACCCACTTTCGAAGGCCCCGCACAGCTACGCCATGAACAGACTCCGGTAGCATCGCAATGGATTCAACGAGCCACCAGCGATAGCTTGACAGGACAGAGAAACGTTCCTACCTCGGGACGACCTTTCGCTAGTGATCCATATGCCGACTCTGAGGTCAGCTCCTATGGACGATCCAGTCCCGAGCGTAGCTACGGCGCTCGATCTAGTTCGCCAGCAACATCACATGGAAGCGTGGCATCCCGACGACCGAGTGCAACAGCATTGAATAGCGGAATATTGACCAAGAAAGCACCTCCTCCCCCTCCTCCATCTCGATCCAAGAAGCCCCCGCCTCCTCCTCCGCCGATGAAGCGGACTCTACTGGCAGCGACGGATACGTAAATTGATTGGGAGGATTGGTGAATTGAATGGAATTTGCATTTGATTAGTTTTCTCGAGCATAGGGGTTTGGGAGTCTTAGTTAGCTTGATTTGGCCATGGATGGGATGCGAGTGGGATTGTCTTTATTGACGTGATTGTTATTTGCGGTGGCATTATTATTTGCGGTTTAATGGCAGTGTAGTGTCCCAGTTGTACTCATTGTTCTACTCCATTACCCCGTATTCGTATAGATATATTGATGCCTTGCTGCCTTACCTGGTACCACAAATGCGCAGACGGCAGTACTACTCCGCCCGCACTCAGGTGACCCCGACCAAGCAGATCCCGTGACTCCTCGCCACTCCGTTGTAACGCCTGTCCAATTCTTCTCTTCTCTGAGAGCAACAGGTTTCCCCGAGCGAGTCGCGCAAATCGGTCCCCCATCGTACCCCATCCATCCACTTCGCCCTCCCCCCATTCGCGTCGCGTTGGGTGTCGCCAGACCACAAGGACGTGGCCCCTTCCGCCCTTTAATTCGCCTTCTTTGATTCCCCTTTCATTCCTACCATTCCACCTGGTACCCGCCCCCCCATACTCCATCGATCGCATCCTCGGAGCTCCGACCACGGGCCCCAAACATCACGCTTCTCATCGCCAAGAGCCCCGACGAACACTTTTTCGTCGCCTCTCCCCTCCACCGGCCCTCCCCCGTCGCGCCCATACCCCTCCCTGATCGCGCTTCCCACCCCCTTCTCTTCCTGACGCGACCGGGTGTTTCCCCCAGTGGAGCCCGTGACCCCCCCAGCTCAGATCAGCCTCGACGCATTGAATCCACCCCAACGCGTGTCCAATTCACTTATGAATTAAAGTAACACGCGCAATCAAGATGGCTTCGCTGCAGTCGGCGCCTGCTATGGCGCCCGGCAACATGGGATTGCCACCAAACCTGACCCAGCAACACATCCAGGAGGCTCTGCAGGTTCGTCCCTCTCCCCAATCTACAACAAGAGCTTCCACATCCAATGCTTTAAAAATTGGTATTGAATCGCGTCTAACTTTATCTGTAGAAATTCAAGCAGATGCAAGAGCAGGGTGTCCCCCATGACAACCCAGAGTACCTAAAGTATCATAATCTACTCTCGGCTGTCCAGCGCCAGCAAATGTTCCAAAAACAAAAGATGGCCGCGCAACAACGCCAGCAACAGCAACAGCAACAGCAACAGCAACAGCAGCAACAGCAGCAACAGCAGCAGCAGCAGCAGCAGCAGGGACAGCAGGGTCAGATCAATGGTGCTACTACTGGCCCTGATGCCGCCACCAATGGTGCCCATGGTGCGTTATTATCACGTTGATTTTGCATTCTTGCTTGATTGTTTACACATTAACACGCCTCTTTAATAGGACGTACTGCCTCTACCTCTTCTGCGACTGGCCCAACCAATGATGCGAATGCCACCCGCAAGCCCACCACTGTTGGAAGCGGAAGCTTTTCGCCCGAGCAACTCGCCATTCTTCGGAATCAAATCTTCGCTTTCAAGAAGCTTTCCAAGAACGAGCTCATCCCCCCTGCTCTTCGCCAGCAGCTCTTTGCTGCGAAGAAGTTCCACACTCCTACTCCAACCGAAAATGTTTCTGTTGCAGAGAAACTCGTTGAAAATGCCGACAAAGACACGCCCGAGAAGGCTCCCACTCAAGCAGAAGTTGACACTCTCACAAAAGAATGGTACAGCAGCTACGAAGTACCCGAGAAGATACTCGGAAAGATCTCATACCGGGATCACGCCGTTTTGAAAAAGCGCGGGCGTATCCCCGCCTTTTCCACTACCTTCCTTGATCGAGTTTCAATTGACGAGGACCGAGAAGTCGCGCGCTACAATCGCATGACTAGCCGTGCCAAGACCATACAGGAACTCCCTGTCAACGTGGGTGTTTGGGACGCCGACAAGAGCGATGCCCCGAGCAGTGACTCCGCGGCGAATACGGCTCTTCTTATCGAGTACAAATCCCTGAGCCTGTTTGAACGCCAACGGGTACTTCGCGATAAGCTCCGACGCGCCATTGCGCATGACAGGAATCAAGTGAACACTGCGCAGCAGCGCCGCATGAAGAGGCCATCTCTTCGCGAGGCCCGA